TTTAAAAATATTTAATAATGACTCATTAAATATTTTTAACGACTTTAAAAAATTATGAAAGTTATCAAAACCAAAAATTTTACATTTGGATAAAAAACATTTAATTACTGAAATAAGAAATATTGATGGATTTGAGCTAAAAAGAAGCAAACAAAAAGTTGTCTAAAAGTTGCAACTAGCGTCCTCTATAATAATTTTATGACTTTGTAGAACAAAAAAATAATTTTTAATTTATGAGATTCAGAAAATTTTAGAAACCTTGAAAATTCTTCATGCTCCCAAAATTTTGCATTACAGTGAAGAAGTGATGAATTTGCAAGAAATGAACGAACCTAAATGCATCGTAAACTGTATTCAAAGGAATAAATGTACTGACACTACGAAGTCTTAAGTAGATAAATCACAAAATAATTGCAAGGGTGAATTGATTGCAGTGAGTGAGTGCAACTTTTTCCTCTCTTACAGCAAATAATAATTCCTTTTTTGCTTTGCGAAGCGTTTGCTGCTGATAATAAATGCACAAATGTCAGATTTTGCATTTTCTTACTGATTAAGTATACTTTTCGCAACAAAATCAGACTTTCAGTCATTTACTTTTGTTTTCGCTTCACGGAAAATGAAGAATAATTCAGAATGAGAGAAATTCTTCGGAGCTTTTGAGCTATTTATTAATTTTTGTACCTTTAAAAATTTTCTGATCATTTTGTTATATGAGCATAAGCTGAATTGCATAACTTTCATGTAAACGTGATTTCGTTAGATTTTATTGAAATTCTGAAGCTAAAAAGTTTTCAATCAATTTACCATCATGCTTTGCATGGGAAAAAACTGGCCATTTGGAAACTATATAGTGCACGAATTAAGCGTTCAGAAATAGGAAATAAAAACTACAAGTCTACTGATTCGTTTTGATTGGTATTATGATTCTTGACTGACATTCATTATCTGAAGATATCACTCCAAGCAATCAATTCATATTAAGCATTGAGAAGATTTAAGGAGGAATGAAAATAATGAAACACTAATGAATATTTCATTTCAGAATCAAGAAGTCATAATTAGCAATTCTTTTTTATCTCGCAGTAATTTAATGTTATGAAAAAAAATGTTCACAATGTAAGCAGCCAATAAATGAAGAACGAAAAATTAAGAAGTTTAAGAATTTCTTTCAATCTATCTTTCACAAATTTCGTTGGGTATTGACAGTAATTCTGTAGTCACTTTTCGTCGCAATAAAGTTATCAGAAGGTTTCTGGAAATTATGTAGCAGTTCAGCTCACTCGACAGTATACTAACAGATTTGTTTATTTCCATATGACTAATCTTGTCTGAGTCAGACAGACTTGCCCCAATTTGACATTTTTACCAGTGTTTAATGAAATTATTTGCTATAGAATCATTTTACAGTAAAATCGGAAATAAGAAAATACTGCCTGCAAAAGGCTGGAACTGCTTATCGCAGAATGTAGATGATCCCAGTCAGGTCCATCGGATCCGATAATTCGTCCATAGATTTTGCTATCTATCTGACTTAGAACTACAGTCCAACTAATAATGCATTCATTACCTCTAGAGTAAAACATTTTATGTGTGTAGGAAACAATAACTCAAGAAGAGAGTTATACAACTAAAAACTTTGTTAGCATTACTACTTGTAGCAAAATGCTACCAGAAAAATGAATTCAACCTCATAAAAGTATTTATTATTCCTTATATCTCTCTCTTACTCTTGCTCTAAAAAAGTACCATAACCTCTGTTCTACCAGCGTTACTTAAATTATAATTACTTAATCGAAATTCGAATAACCACAACAGTATATCTCTGCTACATACGTATTGTAAATTTTCATGACTGCATATGTCAACTGACAATATTTATGCTTTAATTAATAAATGGAATTTTGATTTGGCATATCAGTCCGAGGTCATCTCAACTGCACTGATCTGATTACATCATGAAAAATGACAGGAACATCAATAATTATGATTTAAAAATAAATTTTTGAGAGCTTTTTATGAAAACTAAACTCCTATATTTCAAAAATCTGATATTTAAAGCTGCCCTGTATTATGTTCTGTGTAGATTAAGCCAATATAACTGACTTTTCTGTATCATTGAAGCAAAAATTATATCAAATGATCCAACAAGTCAAAGATATCTTAAAAGATTGATAGGAAAGTGTATAAAGTATTTGCAGTAAAACGCAATACTCTCAGCTTGGAGGAACTAATGTAACTTTTATTCATTAGGAATTATGTGTCTGACTAGTCAGACGATTTATTCTGTACAAGTTTTTAATGGTTGCAGTTAACTTTTCACTGCTTACAGAAGTTCCATCAATTTGATATTTGTCTACTAAATGGAATATGGAATCGTGCATTGTACTACCCATCTATACTGAAAAAAAAATTATTCAGTAATTCTTTGGAATAAAAATTCGCCATGCAGAATATAAAACCGAATTATGCCTAAACAATGCCCAATTTTTTCAAAACCTTCAACAAGCAAATTTTAACGCAAAAATGAGTAGTCACCATTGCTTACATATTCATATGCACAAATTATGTCTTCAGATTTGTATTATTTTTACGTGTACATAAAATATTACAGTTCAGGAATTTGATTTAATATTGGCTGTATAACAATCACTATTCTATTTACTCTGCGATTCCCGGTCAACAAAATTACCAATTTAGTTTAAAGTTGAGCACTATCACTGATATTGATGGTTGCTCTATTTATTCGAAAATCTTTAAGGCGTCAAGAACAATAGCCACAATTTCAGCTTCTGGTAGTTTTTGATGTTCTAGCTTGAAAGATTTGAGCATAAGTGTACGTGCACATGAGTAGTTCTTCTGCTTAATAATGATATAATCTGAGTACAAAGAGTATTAGGAAAAAAAAATCCAATAAATAATAACATGTCAAATATATTTTACATACCTTTCTTAGCAGTATTTAAATAAGGCAAAATTCGAAATCTAAGTGTTATTTCATCTAACTTTTTCTATCCCTTTTCAACCTTTTTCAAGTTCAGTGAGCAGTCTGTATATTTTCCTTCAACCAATGTCTTGTCTCATTCATTTCATCCAAAGTTTACAGTACTAAATTTCTAACGGATATTGCTCATCAAAGTACTCAGAAGTGATCACTCCATTCCGTGTGCTGTCAAGAATTCAGTGAAACAGAAAGGTACCATGCTTACAATCGAAAGTAGAATATATTTAAATCAAAAATCATTTGGTTACTTCGTTATGGCTATGCTATGAATAACAACGCAAAGTGAGTTATTCATAGCATAGCCATAGCCATTCTGTGGTAAGTAGTAGAAATCTCTCACTGTTAGCCGAGAAAGTGTTGAATTAGCATACGACTAGCTTTTAATGCAAACTTACAAAAAATTGTCAAAAGTAAACAATCTTCGATCAACTATTTTGCCAAAATTTTCACAATTTTTGCAGAAAACAGAATACAATCCATTACATGTTTTGCTCAGAGTTATAATCACTGCATACTTTACTTAATTATTTGCTCAAATTTTTCTGTAATATCTTCCCAGTAAATGCATTCAATCTTTGCTAAGTTTAGTAATGAGCAAGCAAATCCTACGCATTGTTTCTTACATCACATTTCAGTCTACAAGAAATTTAAGACTTCAATTAACAGTCAGTCAATTTATCCTTCAAAATAATCCGAGACAAATTTTTGCGACACAAAAAATGAATTGGTGAATTAAAACAGTGATTCCATACTGATCACCGTTTCAATTCATCATACAATCTAACTAGTCCCCCTCAATGCAAGATATACTACTATTGATATAGGAAAGTTAATTATCTATAGCCAAAATCTTATAACCCAGTTAACAAGTTTCAGTATCTTATTATACCAGTTAAATAGCAAGAGAACAGTAATAACATGAAAGTCCCTTTGTTCAATTCAAGTTCAAAGAAATTTACCTTACTACAATAAAAGACAGAAGCTACCAAACACGAGGAAATGTAAGCCTAAAAACATGTTTGGAAGCTTCTCAAGCCCTTTGATTACTGTTTTTTTTTGTTCTTTTTTCTAATCATGCATTTAATCTAAATGTTTGAGTAAAACAGACATTAATAATGCATTTACTGTTTATTTGCACTTATGACATGAGAAATAAATGACATTCTGATCTCTAGCACACAACTCCTCACATTCGGAAGGATGAAAAACTGGCATTTATTTTTGAAAACACTCACTTAAAAGCATTTTAAAATGAATTATTCAACGCAAATAAAGTCACAACCCAAACTTTAAGTCAAGTCAGTGAACTGCGACGGACATAACCTATGTCTGGAACAAAATGATATAGAAACTAGTTAATTTAATTTCAATGCTTCAACATTATCTAACAATACCATGTTCTTCACTTTCCATCTACCACTACAATTTAATCAAACGTCAGTCAATGCATTACAAAAAATAGAGACATTCAATTTTGAAATCTTAACATTCATCTACATACTGCGAAAGTAATCCTTTTCTTAGCTAGTTCATATGTCGAAATGTTTAAGAAACAGAAACATGAAGGACAGTAGTAGGAAATTTATAGCAAAAACAGCGAAGTCCAATGCTTCATATGAATGAAATCTTGAAGACCAAATAAGAAAAATAGCTTCATTATGTATTTCGAAGCCATACTTTATAGTATTTTTATCACACTTCCAGTGTATACAGTTGCAACACTATAAGAAGTTGCATATTACCAAACTGAAATACTATCAATTTTCTAACTCCACTTATTAATTCCAGAAATTATCCATCGAAGATTGGTATCTTTAGAAAGAAATCAAGTAAATCTTAGAATTTCTAAACGAAGATTTCTTTCTTATGTAGGTTATAAATTGAATATATAGATGTAATATTTCTCAAGAAACAAATAGAACAAGCAAGAGAGCTAGAGAACGAAGTATTTACATATAAACAAAACTAATATTTAAAAAGGAGATCATTCGAGAAAATGTTAGGACTTCAAATTTGATCTCGATATCTTTGTTTTCAGAGCACAAAGGTGTCGAAGCGTTGGTCGACCATGAGGGCAATTCTAAATGAACTTACAATTAAGGATGCAAGTCAACGTTAGGCTATAAAAAATGAAAAATTTCCAGTCATTAGGTCAAACATGATAAAGAGGAAGTGAAGTTCTTTCTTCACATTTTCAGACATTTGTTCCCAATCAAAAAATTTTACAAATAAATGGGTTACAACACAATCAATCACAGCACCAAAATAGCAAGCGTTTTCAGCATGTATAAAAGCATGAAAAAACTAACCCACGGATGATCGAGTGATCCAAGATGACGAACAATCTATAAATAATGAATAATTTTTGGTGAAAAACAAAGGAATGAGAAAAACACGCGAGAGGATATTTCTTTAGAAGGTAAGCCACAAAACAATGTGGCTTGACTTAAGTCAACAAAATATGAAAAAAATAAGTGAACATAGATAAAAAATTAAATATGAATTACCGATGATGACCTGAGAATAAGAATATAGTAAGTTATAAGATTTGTAAATTAAAATTGCAAACTATAATATTGTAATCAAACGAGTTCAAATAACTGTTAATTACTACACTTCGTGTATTTAAACACAAAGATTTAGGAATACTGCTTTCATTTACTCTATAAAAAAGGAAAATTGGGAAGACATAAAAGCAACAGACTTTTTCCATTTGAGGGAACGTCAGTGAACTTCCAATCATAACTGATTTGCGACATGCCCGGGAAGCAAATATTTTTTGGAGCTTTACTGGACGATAAATTATTCCGGGGAAATCACATAATACAGAGAGCATCTCATCGATATCTACAAAAGAATTCTGTGAAATGTATACAAACAGCAAAAAAAAATTTTATAGTGGTCGGCCACCTTTGGTACTAGTTAGTTAGGAATATTTATATCAAAATTTATAAGTAACGACAGTTAATAAAATCAATACTTTTTATTTATTCTATTAAATTAAGCAAATTCAACCTGATATACTGAACTGCCAACTGTGTAAAACAGGTATTGCAGTTAGTAGAGCACGCTTTCCAACAACTTCTATAAAATTTTCTCGGTAAACAGCTTAATCAAATACTTTTTAAAAAAAATTATAAACATAATAGATTTTTATTCAATATAAAAACTTGTTTTAAAATAAGAAACAAAAATGCTAATTAAATTTCAGAATACATTTCTTTCTTTAAAAGCTACTCAAGAAAATGTACCAAGAATCTGGGCACTGTTTCATTCTGATTGGGCAATATATCATATATTTGAAACATTGATATGTGTACTAGACAAGAAATAATACGAAATCAAAATGAAACAATAAAAAGAAAATATACCATCATCATCAAATCGGAATTCGAAACCATTGTATTTAAAGATATCAATATTATCTCTCAAAATTGCTTCTTTTATCACTCCAAGGTCTAGAATTCGGGGGCTGAAAAATTTTCTTTCAAGGTAAAATCATAAAAAATCATTTTTGATATCAAATGCAATATTATATATTTGATGTTATATATGTATAACATCAGATATGTGAAAATTTTATTACCTTATCAAGTGTTGTGTTTGTATACGTGCTTTTTTTTGAAATCGCTCAAAATTATATTTTTCATCACTAGCATGTTGATCGATAATGAAAAGATTATTGTGAAGACGTGCAATGATAAAACCCTTATTAAACTGCCCCACAATTTGCATTGATTGAAAGTCCTCTTTCCTGCAACAAAATTTACATTATCCTTGAAGCTATTATCATGAAGAATTTATGGTTTTCATCAACAATCAAAGGAACCAACGATATATATGTTGCCAATTCGTTTTCGGCTACTTCCTGACAACTGATTTTGAACTCCCCACATAGTTCTGTCTCCTCATCACTATTAGAAATGTTTGCTTCAGCCTCGCTTGTTTTCTAGGAAAACTTTACGATAATTTCTCCTTTTTTAATGAAGCACTGACAGTTTTGCGAAAAATGTATGTTATGTTCAGTCAGTTTTTTATGGCTTTTCGTCTTAAATTTATGATAATAGCAAAAACGGTAAAATTGTCCTACTTCATCTATCAGCTTTTTCAGACGGGACATTGAGAATGATATAGTTTGCTGTGAGCGATGTGGAAGAGCATTAGAAGCATTTTCTGTGACAGTAGGTTTGTTATCGTATACCTGATGAAAACAAAAAAATTTAGGTCTTTTATTTGCAGAAAAATTAATAATCTTATGATTTTTTTAAATTTGTATCCAAAAACTTATCGAAAACTTGATATACGCCAATAAAGATTACATGCCACAGCAGAAAAAATTATTCTTACATAAAACAATAACATCAAAAATGAAAAAATATTGACCTCAACCTGACTTTCGTATTTGGAATGATTTTCATCCATAATTTCACCATTACCATTACCATTACCATTATCATCATCATCATCATCATCATCATCCTCACTCATTTCTGGAAAATCAGCATCTTCATGAAGAACCATATCAATATCATCACTTTTTGAAGTACTTTCCACGACTGATTGCAAGGATTTGTCTCTAAAAATTTTATATAAAAATTGAATGACCATGGAATACATTTTACAAGCAGAACATGCAATATTTTTGCTTAAAGACATATGCATCGAAAAAACAAGCCCTTTCGAAGATTATGTCGTAATTAAATGTTGAAAACTCTTGTTATGACAAATACTTGATGTTCTGTTAAAATGATGTCATTGATGAAACAAATACTAGAAAAACAAATCGCCCAAACTGTATAGTTTATAATTTGAAATTGACTTCTTACCGACTGGATAACGGAGAAAGTGCATTAGATATTTCATCCTTCTTATTAATACTGGATTTCGGGAGATGAGGACTATGCGGTATCACTGTGAGAGCAAATTTTTCGAATAAATTTTTTGATTGTCGCTTTGAAACAGTTGCTGAATCTTCTTGTAATTTTATTGGTACTGGTCTTTTTCTGGGGATTACGTGAGCATCTAAAACAACAGATTAAAGCTTTGATTTCAAAAATAAATGAAAAACTCCTCGACAATTTAGTAACATGTTTTTCAGTACTAATAGAATCATGAGAGTGCCACAAGAATTTTTGTCCCATTGACTTACAGTTACAACCCTTACATTTGAAAAAGTTGATCAATATCACGCAACCATAGCTTTAGCAAAAAATGTTTGCCGACTAAAACGGCACATCTTGTTCAGAAAAATTTCAAACTAGAAACAGCTTAGGAAAAAAAAGCGCTAGTCACAATTTACAATACAATTCAATTTACAATACAATTAGAGCAAAAAGATCTGCATATAAGAATCTAATGAGCTCAATTTGTCATCAAAAGAAAATAATGAATTTCTAATGATTATAAATAATTTTCAGAAATATCAAAAACAAATTTATTAAACATAAAACATACCGTCCTTACTCATAATATCCGCACTTGAACATGGGGCATCAGAAGAAATAACAGTTGGCGGACCAATTTTTATTGCCGGTTCAAAAGATAATTGAAAGCTTTGAGCAGACACATCAAATGAATCATCAATGTCATCAGGTTGTGTCAATTGGGCAAAAGAATCGTCTGTAAGTTTTAATTCATTAAAAAATTCAAAAGGATCTTTCCCCGTAAAACTAATAATAGTTTTATTAAACCTTCTGTCTTTTAAGCAAAAACGAATAACTCTTTCCTTCGTTGAAATATTTCAGTAAATCACATTTCCCATGAACTAATTCAGATTGTAAGCGAATTTTGACCAATGAAAAAGCAATAAATAAATCTGCATAAAAATTATTTAAACAGCAATCTTTTGTCACTAATGTTTATCAACAACTCGGCATCTCGGTGAATGACTGAATTAAATTGATTTCCTCATATCTTTTAAGATTCTTCGCAACGCTTTATCTCGAAATTTTCTAAACTTTATATTATATTTTCTCATGATTTTGAAGAAAATAAATCTCAAAATCTATCTCAATTTTTCAAGAAAGCCAACGAATAAACTACCTATACGAAGCAAACTTTCAGTTCTAAGAGATGAACTTGAAGTACCAATAAGCCCAAGATATGGAGTAAAAGTTGCAATCAACGAAGCACGTAATAAAGCGAATAATTCCTTTTCATGAACGAAAAACACAGAACGCTTGTCGGGTGCCACGTTTACATCCATGGTTTCTGAAAAATAAATGCACGTATTTTTCAGAGAAATGCATTATTAACATCTTCAACAGCAAACTAACCTAACATTGATTGAAATCATTCATAATCTAGAAATTTGAAGATGTGATCACATCTAATAATGATTACCGAAAGTTGCATGAATCATTAACGAAGAATTATAAAGTCGAAAATTATTGACAGCATGACTGTTATCAGTTTAGACTTTCGCGATTTTTGATATCACATGAAAATTCCTCCATACATTTTATATGTCACAAAAAATCCAGAATGAAAATTACCAGCAGGGACGTCAACAAATAGTATAAGCATACAATATTGTCCTCGATTGTATAGTTGATAAACTTCATTTGCTATTCGACACAGCTTAAAATACTGGTTTAGCGTTTTTCCAAACACTAAAGAACAAGGAATTTGTAAGAGAACAGACAAGCTTAGATAGAACTTACTTTTGCGTAATCAACTGGTCTTTTGTTAAAATAAATGAATTGTCGATCAGCCGTACTTCGACCTTGCCCATGTACACAAGAACTTACGTAACCGCTAATCCTTAAACATTTTTATTATATATGTGACTTAAACAGACTTCCAAAAATTTGTATGAAGAAATTAGATGAGAGAGATATAACAATTGCATGACTAACATTTTTGATTTTTGTAGAGCAAATAAGGGAATAAATTTTTTGGATACTAGCGTACCTGATGTCATCAAATTTGCATTGACTAGAGATTCCATATTGAGAACGAATGAGTTCATCAGGTTCACACTGTATAATATCCAAAACAGAGTCTTTTTCAAATCGAAGACCAAAAAGGTTGACTAAAACATCCTTGACTGATGCATTTCCGCCTGGTGTTACCAATGCTTTATATTGTTTCCTAAAACACTTCTAAATAAAAGATATTATCTCTTTTCTCTCAGTTAAAGGTACAGAATTTTTAGTAATCAACAGTTATAAACGTACCCATCTGTTAAACTATTCAGCACAAATCTAACATCTGTATGAGATAAACAGAATGACTGTACAGTAATTAAGAGCTTGGCAAAAGCTTTTTTTAATGATCGTTCGAACTCTTTTCTTCTTACTGGTAGAGTTTCAAACAAGTTTCTGATTAATACCGTCGTGCCGATCTAAAGCAGACAAAAAATTTTATTGAGCTGAGAAACTTTCCCACATTAAAATTAAAAAAAAAAATAGAAATGAATATAATAAATTTCACATTTTTTTTTCTATAAAATTACACTCAGCAACATAATAACGGTGCTTAATTCAGAAAAATTAACAGGTCTAGCACATTTCTCCTGCAATTTGATCGATGCATCATGATCAAACTGAAGTTTCGTTGCCATGACTTCATTTGTATGTCGTGTTGTAATCGTCACAGAACTTAAAGATATAAAATTAATTTCTTCCAAGTACATATATACTTGATATCTGTTTTAAAAGCAAAGAAAGTAAGTTAGGAAATTATTATTGAAATGACTGATAGTAATTATTACGAAGGTGTGAAATTATAAAGAAAGAAATGAAAAATTTTTTTGAAAATAATGTAGACCATAAGAAGCTCAAACATTTTGATGCGTTTTAAAAAGATTGAACAAAAAATAACCTAACAGCACATAATGAACTTAAAGCTTCCCCACGAAATCCAAATGTTGTTAGTTGATTAAAATCGGAAAAATTCGAAAGCTTCGATGTAGCATGTGGCTTGCCTAAAAGGATTTAAAATTATGAGCTTCAAAAACAATGCTGGTACCTAATTAAACTAAAAACATACATAATGAATCGAAATTAATTGAATGAATGCCATAACCATCATCAATCACTTCTATAGACTCGAATCCCATTTTTTTGAGTCGTACTTCTGCAGTGCAAAGAGTACTGCCTCTGATAAAATTTTACGAGAAAAGATACAAATGGGACTACTGAAAAACAAGCGCCAAAATAACAATTAGCCAAAACATCCCTTAGCGAGGAAAATATTTATATACACCACAAAAACCGATAGTTCAAGCAAGTCAAAACCATTTATTAAAAACTAATGAATTAAGCAGACAAAACAAGTTAACTAGATCATCATTTAAACAAAACTTGTTGATTTTAACAACGGTGTAGTTCAAGTAACAATTATTTTCAGTAGTCTAAAAATTTTATAGTGGAGATTTCCTATCATCAATTTTAGCATTGCTAGATCAATACTCACAAATGTTGCCTTATTTTCATGTACCAAAATCTGAATCGTAAACGAACCTATGGTCTTTGCACCGGCATCCAAAGAATTGTCAATTAATTCCTTGCAAGCACCCGATAATGTGATAACAACTTGACCTGTACAAATTTTTCTGCAAACATCGTCTGAAATGGCGCAAATTTTGCGAAGCGTCACATCTCCATCATTATTCTCCATCTAACTAAAAACTTGGAAGATGCCGCAGCTTGGAGAAAATTAGGCATATGCATGTATTCATTTTGTGGGAGGTCTCTCAAGAATATTTAAACTTTCAACAGCATAATCATTTTACTCGGGCTGATATAATTTCTATGACAAAATGACATAGTAAAACACATCTTCAGAAACTGTATCACAAACTTATCTTCGAAAAGCTAATCTGCTTATCGTGACACAATAAATTATCATTTGAGGGAAATAAACATTTGTGTTATAAATGATGAACTTTAAATTTTTTTAAAAACTACAGTAGAATCATATGGCAGTTTTAGTAACAAACTAAGTATGAATCAAAGAAAGAATAACAGTATTTAAACAGCACTTACAAAGGAATCAGAAATTACACATTTGGAAAAAAAAAAACAGCCAAATTACAGCAAGTAACAATCTGCATCACATTTTTTCATACGTCAGCTTATACTCACATATTTTGCAAACTTTCCAAAATTCATCTTTTTTGGAGTCATACATTTCATCTCCATAAACATGATCGTGGGCTCTAACATTGCTATTATTGAAACTTTTCGGTCCGCGTACCTAAATGAAAAAAAGAATTTATAATAAAAGTGCAGACATAATTTTTGTACAGAAAACCTTTGGTTCTTGTCCATATAAAGATTATAACATATTCAAGTTTAGTGATAGTATTATGATACACAGGTAATACTAATCACTACAAATAGACGGTGGGAAATAAAATTTGTATAAATTGACCTGTTGCCTCATTTCTTTAATTTTCTTCTCGAATCGTCTTTCTAATCGTACTTCTTTCAGTGCTGTCCGTGTTTCTTTAGCTTTTTCAAATGCTTCTATTGAACCATAAACTTCCAAACAACGTTGCTTTAGCTATAAATATTTTTGAGTTAATTGAATGATAAGTTTAAGACTTAAGTGCCTATGATTTCAATCATAACTATCAGTGAAAACGGATTTCTTAGTTATTTGTAACTTCTTTGGCTTGCAACGGCAAATTATCTCTATAATTTTTATTACTCAAAAATGAATAAAAAAAGAGCAATATTATTTTAAATAGATCCTTCTGATTTGCTGATATATCTCATTTCAATGAATAAATTTCATTAGTTTCAATTAAATACAAACAGATTCAGATACAGTTACAACTCTGCTATCCTATTAAAAATTTTACATAGACAACTAGAATAATACATCTGAAACCTCAGATAAAAAATGCCCCTGTCCTTGACAATTATATTCTACCTGTGCTTTAAGATATAATTTCATGTCTCCATAACGAGGATTATGTGGATTTTTTTTTGAGATGAATCTTAAAACTGGTTTACGAAGGTCGATATCACAATCTTTTAAAAGAAACTGATTTTTGGCTTCCGTTCGTGAAATCAATTTATGCGAACCTTTGTCATCTCTGAAATGCTTTATTCACTACAAGTTAAAATGCATATAAAATTCACATTTCACTATGATGAAGTACGATTTTAATGCAATGCCTAACATAGAGAGATTATGGCAAAATCTTATAAATGAACAACTACAGAAAACAACATTAGATGCAATTATTAATCTGATTCTGGAAGAGGCCCTCTAATTTTTCTAGGGATAAAAATATTTGATATAGATGCACAGTATATGAAATAATAAAGCCGAGTAATGTGATAAATATCAAACCTGCACTTATCGCAAACGGGATAACTAAATTTTTCCCATAAAAATGAATCACATAAGGGATTTTTGCAATCGATGCAATCATCTGGTCGTTCTAAATTGCTGGAGTTAGCAGCTTCCTCCAAACCTACAACCAAACTCTGGTAAGTTCTTTCAGCAGCAAACTGAATAAGACAAACTACAATAAGACACATGTTTTATAGATCTTTTTTTCTCATCACTAACTGTTGCCCCCATTCATAATTCACATAAAATATTACGTTTATGGCGTGACTCAGCTATACGCTCCCGTATACTAGCGTATTCATCATCATCATCCATAAATCCACCGGCTTCATCATAATTTTCTTGAGCCTTCCTATAAACATTTTCCCCAGTCACTTGTAATTACTCATTATGCAAGCAACATGTACCAACATTCACTACTTATATCAAGACAAGGAGAATGCTTTTAAAAAGCACATAAAAATGAAATATAAAGCTAATTTATAAACTATCATTAGCAAAAAAACTCGTGAAAAAACCAGACTGCACACAGTTCAAAACTCATTTTGTCACTGGAAAAATTCATTACTTTGCAAATTAAGCAATATTTATGAAAACTTTTCTCTTAAACGATACCTGTAAAGCTTTTCTACATATGGAATATGCCCATCACCATCATTTATACGTTGACGTTTCATCTTCACTGACGTTTCAGTTCAGCAACAGATTGTATTCTAAATGACAGCCCTCATTACTTCAAGTGTTGTAGAAATGAAGAAATTTCATTATAACTAAGATAGATCTGAAATGAAACTAACTGCACACAATGAGTAGATTCAAACAGCCTGCAATATGCAGTAGAAATTCAAACGGTCTAAAAAATTGAAAACAAGTGATAAAGGTTCGGGCCTTAATGGTAATTGACGGGCGGATGATTTACAAGTATAGCGAAGGTGAAAGAGTAACTAGCAAGTTGTGTTTTGTTTAGATTTAATCATAAGTTTGCTGACATATTGTTTGAATTAGTTATAAGACAAAATAGGTAATACAAATCCAGTGAGCGTGCGGTCAGTTTCACGTAACGTATTGATTTTCTCTTCCATAATATTTTTGTCTGAATTTTCTCGTAATTATAATAGTGCTGATGCATGTTTGATTAAGCAAAGCGTCTACGAAATTTTTATTCGATTCTTGTATAAAATAATTAACTTTGAGCGAAAATGTCGTCTCGATTCGGTCCTCGAGCTACGGGTACTGATGGTACAGATTTCAAGCATCGACAACGAATTGCTGCTCATTACCAGTACAGGTGAGTGAATATCAGTAATTACGCTGTTTGCAAGCATTTTTATGCATTTGTTTTTCAAAATAAAGTTAGTTTAGCAAAAGAGCACAATTGAAATAATCCAACTTATTATAGTGACCGACTTATTTGATGAAGAAAAATATATTGCATTTGTTTTGAAAGCGTATTGTATACTTTCTTTCCATTCATTTATTTATAATTTTACGATTTCCAGTGTACAGTACAAGACGTATATGAAAATATTGTTTGCGTTACATTTATTAGTACTGCTCACAATGTGGGTTAAAGTTGGAGGTGAATTTGTTGTGGAAGGACTTGGCATCAAGTGGCCTTTCTATGAAAACCTTCAGCTTCCTAATGCATATCCGTGGGAATATGTTTGGTGTTTTTCATTTGTGCCAGTCATATTTGCTATCATATCATTTAAACGAAACAAGGTTAAAGCTTTTTAAACTTTGTGTAGAAGTTTCCAAAATAAGTTAGATTATTGTTAATTCTGATATTTATAATTCGTCATAGTAATTATTATGAACATGGACATTTTCAAAATATTTTCATTATGTATTAATCACATATTTCACGCGAAATATAACAACTGTGTCAGTTTTTCTCTATGTTTTCAAATTAATCATAAAAAAAGTTATATGAGCTTGCGTTTTCTTGATTAAAACAAGAATAGATCTTTACATTACTTTTTCTAGACAAACTTGTTGCGTAGTCATTATTATGGACAATTTTTTTTGGGGATTCTTCCATGTGCTGTTGGACTTGGTGGACAGTTACCAGAACTTATTGATTTTTTACATGACATGAAAAATAGTCAGACACCGACATTTCGGGGAACTTTTCCGATGGTTATTTTATGGTATATATTTTTCTTGGTTGCTTTACAAATACATATATTTGTTATGTATTTCTCATATCATTTGATGTTGGCTTGGCAACCAGCAAAGAAAAAAGATTAGTTTCTAAAATACTTTTATTTTGTTTACTATTTTGTTGTCAACCATTCTAAATTAAGTCACTAAGTAAACCTGACGTCACTTTTAGTACGCAAAAAGATATGTATGATTGTCATTATTTTACTAAAATAAGTCGCGAAATTTGTTGAAAATATTGAATTTACTTGTAGTGTGTAATTTTTTATGTTAAGAAATACACTGTACGGGATTTCGAACAGTTTTTTAGATTCTCTTCCGATCATTTGGGGATTTCACTATTAATACTTGCATTTATTTACTGCCGTAAAATAGCATATTTGGACGTTTAATTTCAGTAGATAAAAGTTAATGCTAGTAAATGCATTACATTAATAGACGTAGCTAGCTGAGCAAGTTTATATGGAAAACTGTCAGTGGAAAAGTCTACAGTTTCATTTTATCTTATATTCTCTTGACAAAATTTGTCTACCAGCTAAAAAATTGAATTAAATGCTTTCAAAAGTCGAAAACGCATCTTTAATTCTCTAATTTGCAGCCTATATAAAAACTAATCTTTTTTCTTATGTAGTAGTTTTTAAGAGTGCTTCTGTTTTTGAATTGATATGTTCCACTCTGTAATACAAATTGTTTGCACTAACTTTAAGTTATTTTCTGTCATCATATCTTCTGTCTTCATGACTCTTCATTTTCTGATAAAAAATTACACTCCATTATGAATTTAGAAATCCAAATGTATTATTTATATAAGCATTATAAGATGGTATTTCTTTTGCATCCCACATTTCATATTTCAAAATGATGTATATCGTAGTTTGTGTTTCTATGCTAACAAGCGCTATTTCAGCTTTGTTCCGTTTTTATCGAATCGATGTTAATATGATATACTAGTTGCCAAAAAATTTTCGGGTATGTTAGAATAGTCATTTTTTATGAAATACTTTGTCTTTTTTGTCTTCTTACTACACAGATTGGATCAAATTATAGGTTTACTTTATCGCTCTGTGTCCGAATGTGAAATTTCAATATTTAAAAGCTTTTTAGGGCTTATTTTGGTACTTGTAAAGTAGTGCTCGTTAAGATAACCATTGGGCATGATGGGAATACTTGAATGCGAAAAAATGCTAGCAAAATGTGATGGTTTAAGTGCGTTGATGAAATAGAGCTGCGGGATTTTAGGATTGTTATTAATGTTCGAAAATATTGTGATAACATGGGTAGTTGTACATGCTAAGTCTGTTGAGTTATATTAATCTGTGAATCTTGTTGAGTGTGTTTATCATTTTGGATAATTCTGAAAATGAAATCGTGTACTGCGCTGAAATCTGAATTAAATAATTGTTGAATGTTTTGTTTTTGTCATTGCTACTAAATTAACTGCTTCATTTGTTGACAAGAATTAAGCTCGGTAGTAAGAGAGATTGGAGGTAGGATTTTGAGCGCTTTATTATGTTTTTATTTCAAATTCAGTCTTTCAGATGGAGTTTGTCACATTCATATGCCCAGTGTGCACTTTTTGCAAGCATAATTACATTATTTTTGATGGAATTCAAGTATTGCTAGAGTTTTAGGTGATGGCATCGTTGAAATGATTGAAGTAAGGCTTAAGAGGGGAAGTCTGGTCTGTTTTGCTATTATTGAAGACATGCAGTATGATGCTTCTTATTTGTTTAGTTTTCCTTTTTATTTCACTCTCGCGCTTATTTTTACACTTGTCTGGAAACTTTCCTTTAATTTGATAATTTTTGCAGTCCATTGATTCTCATCAAAATGAAGTATTTATCTCTTAAAGAAATCGACATACGTGTTAGCAATATAATTCCGTGTTGGATAGAAAAGAGGAATGCAATCGAGAGTTGTTTAGACTTTATGCTACTTTACTTTTTAATTCTCATAATTTCAATAGTATGTGTAGGCTGTCTCAAGTTGATCGGTTCATGAAACATGACGTGATGACGTCAACGACGTGTATATGTGTCATTAATGCTATTACTTTGCTTTCTGCTTGGTAATAATGAAGTTCTTTTTGGAAGTGATCTGGTGCTTTGTGTTATTCATCAGAAGAAATCTTGTTTTGCGTGGGCTTTTTATTGTTTATTTCATTTTATGTCACAACTTGTAAATGTCAGTTGAAAAATTGATGTTTCCGGCCAATAAATACACTGATTCTAGTGAAGTTCTTCAGAAGTCTCGTATTCTGATCAAAATTTTTATCAAAAGAAATTAAGAATGATGGATATGTAGTTTCTGATTATTCATTCGAGAGTACTCTCTAGTAAGTTGTAATCGTGAATAGCTATAATATTAAAGATATTCTTATACTTCCGATGAAGTCTCTTTAAACTGTTTTTAATGATAATGAATAATTGAAGTAATTTAGACGTTCGAAGAATCCGAAAGTTCTAAACGGAGAAAAATATCTTGTTCTTCTGCTCTTTAATTTTGTAGCCAACTTAAAAACAATTTAAGACTTCAATTTGCTGAAGAGCACTCTAATGACATTTCGATTCCTTTAAGAGTAATTGCTTGAATTTGAGTCTAAAATGTTTTTTGTAATTTAATCAGAGATCAAAAACGATACAAAACGTTGATTTTTTTATTTGGAACCAAACATTTTGTGCATCTTTTGCTGGTAAAAAATTCTGAAAATTATTTCCTTCCTTTATATCCGATTATTGTTATTAGAAAAGGTATAGATCTATTTCAGATCTTCAAATTGATGAACTATTAGAGTGTCACAGTTTGTTATCCATTTTACATTTGTACAGCTGTCAGTGCATTATGAGCAATAAATGTTATGAGGTTGGTTCGAGACTGCTAATGTAAGCAGGCAGAATTGAGAAGGATGGCAGTACTTTTATGCATTAATTTGCATTTTTATTTCGATGTCCTATCATAGCTATGATTACCACAGCAGTGGTGAGACTGACTTATCATCACCATTACTACCACACCGCTACCATCGTCACTACCATCGTCACCAAAGCTAACAATACCATTTCTATCTCAGTCGCTATGCCAAGTTTCATTACTTAGCTTACTTCGTGTACTAGCTCGAGTTGAGCTGAAGGGAATGAATATTTATGCTATTATTGTATATTAACTCATGCAACATAAAGTTAATTCTAATGGCATATATAATTTTTATGTAATATTTATGCACCATTTATATGACAGTTTGTTCATTTCAGTACACATTTCTATAAATCAAAATCAAATATTTTTTTTAAATAAAAAGATTTTATGAAGATAAAAACTGTCAAATGTATTCTTGGTTTTTCTCAAATAATGCAAGCTCAATGAGCATTGATTTCAACATGATCATCCTTGCGAATATATATGTAATATAAAAATTACACGAGAGGCCGTAAAGGAAAGTAATAAAAGCTTGTGTTTTCCGCATGGTAAAGCAAACTAAATCCGGAGGTGTGCTTTATCATTTAGCTGTCTTTCATTAATTTGCAAAGACTAATATACTTTCAGCATTAATATAGCTAAAAAGCTGGCACTTTTTCGTATTTATCTCTGCTTTAGCAAATTAAAAACTTGTGCAATTTTTTGCAACAAAAATCTGTTTGATTGAATAAATGTGTGTTTTATCATTATCATATTATTTAAATTTAGGCAGTAAATGAGCTCTATATTAAACAATACTTAACAGCAAACCGTATGCTGAATTTCTGTGCATAAATTCTTTAATAGAGCAGCAATACTTGCTGTGTCCATAAAATAAGCAAATAATGAAGAATTATCTACTCCTATTTGACGTCAACAATTTTTCATTGCATTTTTTCTGCGTTACTTCAATTCACTTTTTTAGAAGAAAAATGAGTAATTGCAAGTATTAATTAATATTTTTCTATCTTTACTGAAAACTAACCAATTATAAACGATGCGAAATGCAAAATTAGAATAAAGATTCATTCATTTTTCTCTGCTTAATTATGTCCTCAGAAGATTGTTTATCAAATGTACACAACTCATGTAGTTAAATAATTATTTATCAAATGCACCAAAGCCATCCTTTGATTTTATATGAATAATGCGCTTGCTTTCATTCAACAATTATTATTTATAATTAATACTTTTGACCTTTATATTTTTTCATTATTCTTGTTATCATCACATGTGATGGTTTCTAAGTCATTGTTGTAATGAATTAATTTGAAATTTAAGATCAAAAATACGTGCTTCTAATGAATGGCGGGGAAGAACAGAAATGCTGGTTATTATTCACTTTTTGCAGAATTTATTTAAAACAAAAATGAAGTTAAAGAGTACTGAGATTGAAGGAAAAATTATTGACAGATTTGGACAGTTTGTCAAAAGTTATTTCTCGCTCTTTTTTTTCCTCAAAGTAAATTTACACTTCAGACTTTGATGTCTAATTCTTAGTGATTCATTTATCAGTATTTTTTTCTAATAAAAAATTAAATTTGCTTGTCGTTGTTCAAAATTTTTGAAAATAGGACTAGCGTAAAAAAAATTCAGGCATATTGATTTTCAAAAAAAAGAAATGTATTACATAATCAGTGATTGACAAGGCGAGTATTGCCTTTTTCAGAAGTTTTTCAATTTCACGAAAGTTACTGATAGAAAGCATATGAATAAGAAACTGCATTAAGAAACACGTATAACAGTTTCGCTTACGTATGAACTTAAATTTAAAAATTATGTCTTGTTTTTAAACGTTTGAATTAATTTCCTTGACAAACTTTTAATATTGAGCTGTCTTGTGTGACTGATCAAGTTTATTCATTTAATATATATCTAAGTTTTTTTTGTCACACGAATTATTCTAGTATGTTTATTTCTAACGTAAAAAGATTGCTAGTTGATACATTGAGAAAGAGGTAAGAAAAAGCTTGTTTTTTACACACTTTTCAATCAGTACCGAATTTGTGATGACAGATTCAAAACAAAAAAATCAAAGATGTAATGTGGAGAAATTTCGTGCAGTCAGCAATTTGTAGAATACAGTAAGTGAAAAGTTAATTTTTGAACGAATGAAAGATGTCATCACAATTGTAATATTTTCCATTGCTTGTTATTGAAAAACTATCCAAATTGCCTGTCGATAGAGTTATTTTTGAGAACGTATGTGAAAAAAAATGCATTGTTGAGCAGTCGCAGATGAAAAACTAGTTTTGAAAAGTATTATTGAAAACAATGCATTTTTGTAATGTTGAGAACAAATATTAATAATAATCATAATGCGATCACGTGTATATAGATTTTGTTACTTACAATATCTGAAAAATAATCATAATGATAAAATCTTAGTGTGAAAATTGTGGGCAAAGTTCATGATAAGAGTGCGAAGTTTGCATAAAGTGGGTTGACTTCTTAGTTAACGGCTATTTATATGCTTGGCTGTTATTGTGAATAAATGATGGACGATGTAAAGTTGACAAGTTCATAGGGTAAATAAGGTGTGCAGAGTTTATGTTATGCTATTTATCTTATAGATTGATTAGAATTATTTACAAAGTGCTCTCCGAGCTTAAATAGTGAATGATTTGAAATGAGCGAAGGGAACAGTTTGACAAAAAGTGTTTGCGCTAACTTTTGTTCCCATAAGCTGAGAAAACAAATGTCCCAAGTGCATTTGAAGTTCTAGTTTGTTCAACAACATAATAGTCAATGACGTGTTAGTTTACTCCGTAAGATAGGAGTTATCGAGCATCATTTATGTAAGGAACAACTCGTTAGTTACGTCTACATACAACTTTTACTTACGGTTACATAGAACTTTCTCTGCGTGTGTATCATTAAGTAAAGAGAAGTCAAAAAGAGTTAGCAGATAGCAAGAAGCAAGAAGCAAGAAGGCCTGGGCCTAGACTACTATGAGGCTCAAGAATTTGGTTACATTTTGCGATAATGCAAACTTGTCATCTGCAAGTGAGTTTTTGCTGCTACTATTTAAATAGAGTGCAGCGAGTTTAGACTAGCTCCAAATAAGCTTGAGCTTAGGTTTGTCCAAGTCATTAGCTAAAGCAAGCAATGAATGACGAGGGTAGGATCGTTAGCTTTCTTCAGTCTAGAAAGCTTAATATATTCAGTATAAGCAGCCATCCTTTCTCTTCTTGATATACTGCAAAGATTCAGTTTAATCGTCACATTCATACTCACGCATGCTCTCACACACACTCTCTCACATACACATCACACATACACACGCACACGCACATGCGGACTAAATTTAAAGAATTTAAGATGGCTTTATCGAGTAATCTTCAGAGTTTAGACTGATTTATTCATACATGCATTTATTCATTCAATCATTCATTCATTCATTCATTCATTCATTCATTCATTCATTCATTCATTCATCTACTCATTCACTCCACGGTGCTTGTAAAGTTACTCTAAGCCAAGCAACCATCCGGCAGCAGCAGTAACAGCCATCAATTCGTGCACATTTCAATCTTAAAAGCAAGGGATAAATATATTCCCTCGCAACTCCATATCCCACATTTCATTCTACATCTTCTTTTGATCCTTTTCAGACTTTTGTTATTATTACCATTTCACTGCTTCATACTATCATTATTGTTCTCTTTCGTTTACATTACTTCATTTGCGTTCGTGCATTCATCGACATATCACATGATCATTAGTACTTCCATCTTGCACATTTGCTTCTTTCCGAATTCCTGGTGTTAATTTGCTAACAGTAAACAGGACAAGCAATGGTTTGTTATGGTTTATTCAGCGAGGACCACATGTTATCACTTACATGAGAAATGAAGCTTGTTTGCTATGAAGTTACTGATTATCTTCTGATATTTTCCTCTTTAACACCACTTATTCTGTCAGTGATAATTAATTAATGCTGCTTGAAGCGCACTATGAAATAGTTACTGCAAAAATCCTCTGCTCATGTCGCTTTTGTGCATCACTAGTAAGTTGTTTATTTTGTATTATAACTGGAAACATTGTTTTTTTATCAAATTATTTTTGATAATTTACTCCCTTAACCAAATAGTCTAGAATGAATTTTAGTTTACAATCTAATTCAAATTAACTTTCTGTAACAAACGCATGCATGTATAATTAATCACGAGTATAAGTTGAAATTGCTTAAGAAACAGCAAACGATTCAAAAATTTGTCAAATAAAGTAATAAAATGAAATTTTCAGTCAAGAAGGCTCGACTTCAAGGATCTTTAGGTAGGTCACATTATTATTATTATTGTGATACCAGTGCTGCAGACGCAACTTTACGTTATCTTTATTTTTGCTAAGATATAATTTTTACGTCAGATTTTTTTTTTATTTTTTGAAACTTTTCACTTTTCATATATGCATTTAGTCATATAATTTCTGTCATCTGAAACAATTGTCCAAACACATTGTGGAACCATAGTACATAGTCCGTAGGCTATTATCCCTGCACATACTAATTAATGTAATGCTTTTTTATTTGTATAGAATTTAAACAGAACACCCTGATTTATATATTTCGTTTCTAAAATTCATCTGGTGTGGTGAATTTTAAATCAAATGTCATAGATTTCTCCATCGTATCTATTCGAGAAACTGTGATGCATGTTTGGATTAAATTTTTTGTCAAACACATTGCTAGAAAAAATGTGCATTATATCATTCAGAATGTTCTTTTTATCTTAAATTATGCTAAACTATCAAAGCATTTGTAAACCATCTTTATCCAAAAATGACGATTTTTGTGCAAAAATTTTTCATCATAAAGTTCTATTGTAGGCCAAAGTAAATTTATAATATTTCTATGAAGTGATTAAGTAAGTAATCAGCTAGTTGATACTTAACATTCCTTTTTATTCCATTTCATGTAATTCAATTCTAGATGAATTCAATTCTTACGTTGTGGTAAAGTTGCAAAATGTAAAGTCGACAACTATGACGGTGAAGGGTAATCAACCATGTTGGGAGCAAGAATTCATCTTGTAAGACTCACTTTAGTTTAATATTTTAGTGTTACTGAAGTTTTTTAAAAGATTTTAACCCATTAAAAGCAATAAACTTATTGAGATTTAATGGAAATCAGAAAACTTGAAAACCATTATTATAAGTCAAAGTTTGCTTAACATTTGCGAGAAAATTAAGATTTATTGAACAAAGTGGGTCGTTTTTTCTGATTGTAAGACATGGAGTAATTCTTGTAGTGAAACGAACAGAATTGATAATGGCATGATGCTGGAGCTTTGGAATAAAGGTGTCCTCTGGGATAAACTCCTTGGTTAGCTACCATTTATTTATATTTTTGCTTCTTTAAAATTCGACATATACATCGAAAAAGTTAGATGAATGAAAGTCGACTTGTTGACTTTGTCATTTTAATTGGCAGAAGAAGAATTGTGGAGCAAATGAGCACAAAATATAGGTGCCATGCAACAATGAGTGATTCGAAATGAAATAAACTTTTATGATTTGAATTGTTTATATAATTGAAATTATTTGATTTTGAATATTCAAAGTAAGTTTTTAGCAAATATAATTTGCCTACAAACTACTTGAAACTGATTACTTCATTTTTGTCTATTCAATATTTCATTTTTAAGCTCTTTAATTTTTCTACAATGTTTGAAAAAATCAGTTTTACATTGCTTTCAAAAATGTATTGACCCGTAAAACAATCGTATCCTTCATACAAATAATAAATACAATAGTGATATCTGTGAGAAATTGATTTAAACAATTACAGGTTTGCATTATTTGACATTAACATCAGTGCAGTATAGTAATGAAGCTGGGCCAGGCAAATGGTTGCAAATTGATCAAGAATTACAAACCAGAAATGGTCAAACAATTGGAACTAGCGGTCCTACTGGACATTCAATCCTTGTCGATGTACGCTTCGAACTGCCATATGGTCAGTGCTTTCTGTAAATCTCTCGCTCTTTAGACATAGTTTCATAGCTAGATTTAGTTTCAAGTAAGTAATTTTCGTGTGAATGTCCATATTCGTCAAAATGAGCGACAGAAAGAATTTACTAGACAAACTCAGAAAAAGCTGTTAGTAATTAGCAAAATGAGTTTTTGATGTAAATATGTTATGATAGCGCTGCTGCCATTTTTATCACAATCAATATTAAAGAGTTATTGTTTGAAATTATTGGTGTTATCATTTTTCTGCTTCATAGAGGCAGCTTTCTGAAGTGTTGGTTTTGAAGAAGCAAATGTGGAATTGAAGATAAAAAGCATTAAATGCTACTAGCTAGTAACTGTTTCATAAAACTGTACAATTTTTCGGCCTAAAAATTGTAAAGTATGATTTGTTTCAGCTTAGAATCACAATTAGGGAATCTGAAAAGCAAAGATGCAGTAATTATCAATGTGGTATTTGTAAAAATCAAAAAATAATGCATTATATAACACGTGCAAAAGTTGTGAAACCTTTATTATTAAGGACTGCTGTACTTTAGAAGAATACATAATGAATAATTCTAAAATCAGCAAAATTTAATGCTGTATACATCTACTTTTTTTATTAAAGTTTGATTTTTGATTAAATATATTATAAATTTTAGGTAGTAAGAATTAATTATTCATTGCTCAATTCTTTATTTATCAATTCAAAAATATTGCTTAGATTAAATAAACAAAAACTGCATTACTTGCAGATGCTCAAGGCGCAGATGCAGAAGAGTTGCAAGCTAAATTGCAAGCACTGAATCGACTCATCGAAATTGGTGTTAGTTAAAAATTTTTCATTTCTGCTATCTCGAGATAATGACCCTCCAGAGGTTAAACAGACTCGAGCATGAATGATATAGGATGTAAAAAAAATTTTAAAAAAAACTATCTATTCGTTTAATTGAATATTTTTTTAAGTTTGATATTTTTAACTTCATGACGTAAATTCTAATCAAGCTTTCTAATGTGGATTTTGCTTTGAATACAACTTATTTTTATTAAAATTGACTCTACTGATATTTTAGTAAAAAGATTTTCTAATCAGAAATACGCTTAAAAGCATATGGCAAATTGTTTTCCAATTGTAATTCGTATAAAACCATAAATATCATAATTAATTATGATTTCTCATGTATAATGCGAGGGTCAGTTTGGATGACTGTCTTTCGAGCTTAATCTTAGCAAAGTATAATGATTTTATATATTTTCTAACTGCATGCAGCTATGTCTTGAATATGCCTTTTTTTCAATCTTCAAAAGAGCAGACGTAATTACATGTGATATTATTACCATTTTTCTCATATTAAGAATAAAATCTCTATCAACATTTCATTCATTGAGCTCATTCCACTCCATACATTTTGTTTCAAATTAAATTCTATTTGAAAAATACTAATTCTTGCTTTTAGAATAAAAACTGAAGGCTTTTATTTGTCCAGCTTTTTAGCTTTGTCGTCTTTAGCATCATCTGTACAAATTCTATTCTGGCATGAAAGAATAATTTGCTAAACAAAACGTATTTGTTTTTAAATGAGTAAATATCAATTCATATATGCATTTAGTTATTTTATTGGTATTTTGCGTGTAATATTTATAGAAAGAGTACTGAGAATTTAGCATGGATGAAGTAGTGCAATTTATAATCTTTCATGGATATAACAACTGTTTTTGAAGTTTTTTAACGAATATGGATAGATAAATAAATAGTTAGGCGGCAGTCGTAAAAATTTGTCTACAGTTATAAAGATGAATAATGCTAGCAATGCAAAGGAGAATATAGTCACTATTAGAAATTTCTGATTGATTTCGTACATTAATTATGATTTTTTAATAACTATTTCTCTGAGAGCAATTCTGAAAACAAAATGTTAGAAAGTAACGAGAACTTATAAAGTAACGAGAAATCATACTCTGAGCTTTTTTTGATTCTTAGTACATAAAATAGTAATATACTTCATAAAACAATCTATAGCTAATTTCCGAGAAACCTTTGAATGTTACTCTTCGTCAAGACATTCAAATATATGTGCTGGATAGTTTTCATCACTATTTGGAAGTTAATTTTTGAGAAATGTAGATGGAATAGAAGTTATAAGTCTTATGCTGACTGCATATGCGTACTCAACATCTTTGCACGTTTTAAAAAAGATCAGCTCATATGCTAAGAATAGATTATGGCTGTGTAGCCCTAGAGAGTAAATGAATAAATGGCCAAGTATAGATCCAGGTGCATTTTAATGCTCGTGAAATAAGCAAGGTTGCACCTGCATGCTCCTGCCAGTAATATGAAAGTTGCTGTATCACCAAAACTATTATACTCCTTTCTCTTAGCAGCGACTAACTGAATTAATGCGAGCAATATTTGACGTAGAATCACTCTTTCGACTTTTTTCATCAAAATTTTGCACAAATTTAAATATGTATCACTGTGTAATTGGTTAACTGCACGAGAAATAAATCGCAATGCTTTTACGCATTATATCTTAGAAATGCAGCATAGCTTGCACATCGTTTTCTACTTCTGGTCATTTCCTACGTGATCGATCACGCAAATTTTCGGAAAAAAATATTTGTTATTTCTTATTGCCACTTTCTTCATTGATTGATCGTTCACCAATTTACAACTCAAATGATTTTTAATAATTATTTCATTGCACTTAAATATGTATCACGCACCTAGAACAGCCACGCCTTATCTTTTTTATATGATTAGAATTTTGATGAATAACATTATATTTAAATAATAAAAATATAATTCATTTAACGTGAGAGTGTTTACGTTTTCGAGATTACTGTATGAAGCGAATTTTTCGTACAAGTGAAAATAAGTAAAAACCTTAACTTATAATTTTTTCATATATATTTTTTTCTTTGCTTACCTTTTTTTGCTGCTTATACTTATATCACACATAATTTTTCACACATTTTTTCAATTTATGACTATTTTCGCAAGAAGTCTTTGATATTAAGCCATGCGATGTTTTTTGTGCATAATATCAGTTGCATTTCACCTGTTATCAAAATTATGTATTGCTCCTGGACTCCCTTGAATAAGCAAAATAATTCTACAACAAATAATATCGCGTATTTGTTATTATAAAGTTTCATCTATTTATTTATAAGTTTTTCAAATATAATTTCCAAGCATTTAAATTTATCCATCAGCCTATATGTTTTTATTTTTCAGGAGCTTTGGCAACAACAACGTGCTCCATTTACACATTGTAAGTTGATATATTTGAATTTTCATTGGAAACCAGCTCTATGTGCCTAGAACAATAGTTATATCTATAGCTTTGCATGAAAATTTATGAATGTATTCAGACAAAATGTGAACAATATTGCTCTCACTGTTTCCGCAGCTTTTTTGGTACCATTATTTCTGGCAGGAAAATACATGCAAATGGAGCATAAATCTTGATTTCTATCTTGATTTTTATGTCAGTTTATTTTTTAAATTGTTTCAGCAGACATTCACCAACTGCATAAATAATTGATCTCATATATGCTTTCTATAGACAGCTAATCCCGCAACGATATTTATTATTTATTTTTTCCATTGAACAAGCTAAATATAGCGAAAGTTTGGTTGGTATTAGAAAATTTTGTGGTTGAAGTCTTTTTGGATCAAAGTATCAAATTATAAAAGCCATATTGTAGATTTAGGATAAGTATTCGTAAATAAGCTTAAAACAAAAGCAAAATTAAATAGTCTGCTCATTAATCATAAATTTCTCTGTCTCATACTCATGTTGAAGAGATTAATTAAAATAAGTCGTCAGCACTGAAACGTTGCCGTTTGCGATGAGCTCTCTAGAAAGTTTTGCCCATTCCTTCTGCCTGAATCTCTCTTCTTTCTAAACAAATTTTCACTATCTCACTTGTACACTCATTTCTATTAATCAGCTAAATGTCTGAATTAAATTATATTCTTATTGTACACATTGCATTGATTTTGATAGGATTCAGAAATTCGTACTGATGTTTATTTTTTGTTGTTGTTAGCTTCTACCTATTGCAAATAATGAGAAATTAAATAGAAAAAATTAGCGAACGTCTTAAAAAATAAATAAGATGTCAAATGTAGAAGATATTAATTTCATAAATGGCTTCAAGCACTAAATATTTTTGAAGGATTTTGAATGCTGTGCAGTCAACAACATCATATTCTCAGCTTTAATAACGTAATGAAAATGTTGCATTTCAGCTGGCATCATAGCAACTTCTATTTTTTTCTAATTTCTTAATATAATTCTAATTTCTCAACAACTCCCCTTCTAATTTCTCAATATTAGACTCGGATTATCATTAATACTCCTTGTAACTGTGATACAACTGAATTTTGAAGTCTGCACGGAAACATTAAATAAGCTATTTCTACGCATCTTTTTTCTTCCTTCTTTTCGTTTTATTTCACTTTGCTAGCAGTTCCATATTAATCCATCACAGATTAGCATTATCTTCAAATTTAATCAAAAATTTGGAGCTAACTAATTTTATTATTAACTTAATTACCTTAAAGATGTAAAGTATTTTGAATCCAAATTTTTCGTTAAGATGAAACGAATTTATGCTCACAAATTTATTTTGCCATAATTTGTAATGCTGCTTAATGGTTAGTTTTGTATTACAAAAAATAGTTCAAGTCAAAGTTCAAAGTTCAAGTTCATTTTAAAAGCAATTGAACTCGGAATATTTGAAGCTTGTACTTTGACTTAAAAAATAAATGAAAATATCAACTACTAAGAATTGAGATTTTTGGAAATTAATTTTTTTCATGAATTTCATCAATTTTCGACCATCGAAGATTTAACAAATTTTCATTATCTTCCTAACACTTGCATTTCTGTTCTTGTGATTGCATAAGTGAAAATTCATGAAAAAAATATTTAAAAAAATCATCATCCTTTGCTCAATTAGTTGCCAGGGTAATTTGATTAATAAGATTTGTTTTCAATGAATTGCTAAAGTTGACGAAACTTTAAGAAATTATTTGGATTTTTTAACCACATTACTGAATAATTTTTCTCCTAGAAAATAATCTCAAGTTACTGATTTTGACTAAGGAAATTCAACACCATTTCTTGTCATGAATAGCATTCAACTAGAAAATACTTATCAAGCATTAAGATTTTCCGTGACCTCACTGTTATTTAGCAAAATGTGTACTACTTATTCAGTAAAAAAGTTTGCTACTCCTATGCTTTGAATAATTTAATTCAACAATGAGGTCTGTTAGCATCAATTTCATGTTTGCGAATAGTTTATTTGAAGCATTTCTTAACTCATATTAAAATTTTCTTTTATTGCTTAGCTTTTTATAAAACCAATTATTATATTATAATTTAATTTTAAATAAATAGCTCCTAATTTTCAGATATTACTCAATTTTTTTAAACCATTATGTAATTTTTCACACTTTTTCGATCAACTTACTGATTGAGAAACAAAATATTATTTTCAGAAATGGACAATTTAAGTATTTATGTGAATTAATTAGTACATGAAGACTGCAAATTTGAGTTAATTACGCTTTATTTGACACTAAAATTTTTAATTAAAATTTTTGCTTGTTTTTCAAATTCAAGCTTGCAAATACCTATGAAAAGATTCATATTGAGAAATTTGAACGAATTTTTTACTATAATAATTGAATGAAAACTTAGAATTACAAATGCACAAAGAATGTAATTCAAATTATTTCTCAATTCATACAATGATTTTGACTTCTTGCAGCTGGGATTTCAGAGGATTCAGATTACACATCAGATGTGTCATTCCCTGTGCATAATCCCAACAGCTCAGTGCATCAGTGGGACAGTCATTTACATCCCAGCCGAAATTCAAGGCAATATGACAAAATTTTTTTGCAGTTTGAACAGGTAATTTTCCTAATTTTTAAGTCATTCAGTTTTTTTTTGTTTTGTTTGGTTAAGCTTTCTTCTTTCGTGCGAAACAGATGTTTTGCTTTTGGTTCATTAAATTTGGTATGAATGGTGGATTTTTTTTTGCTTCATTAATGCCTGCTTTTGCTGTGGACATTAGTATTTGAGATGATAGCTCATTTTAAGCCGTTCGCTCCTTACTAGTGATCAAAAACATTTTCTGCAGCATTACTTTATGTGCTATCTACTATCTGCACATGATGGATATGGTTTAATCTTTTTTTGATATTTTTCACTACTACCTTTGAATAGAACAAATTTTAGATTTTCGGGCTTTAGTTTCAAAGTTAATCCGTGCTAAACGTTTCTCCACATATCATATAGTTATTACTGCTTTGATAGACATTATTAGAATATTTCATAGATTAATAACTTTAAAGGTGAATGGTACTGAACAGATATCATTTGCATTAAATAGTTATGAAGAACTGTTTTTGCGTGAATGATAGAGGCGTGATATAGCCTCTGTAAACAATGATAATTATCCCATGAACAGACTCTGCAGGCAAGTTATGAGGATGAAGAAGATGCCTATCGACAACAGTATGATCTTGTTGATGATGCTCATGGAAGGCAGGTACAAAAATCAGGTCTGTTTTAGTCATAAAATTTTTTTTAACTGAAACAGGAAAAAATATCAGAATCTTCAAACACCAATGGAAAAGTAAAGTAGAGTTTTTATTATTATGCAAGTGATTTACATGGACAAAGATGAATAATAAATCGAGACAATAAGTTAATGATAGTGATAGCAATAAAATATTTATGGCAAGTAATTATCGAATAGCTATACTTCGAAGAATATTATATGGTTAATTAAAATATAACAATAATACTGGAAATCAATATAAGTAATACCAATGATAGTGATAATGAAATTGAAAGCAACGTAAAGTAAAGTAGACGTGTGGAATCAGGAAATTCTGTATTGCTCTTGGTTAACTAAAGAAGCTGGCTTTCATTCTTTTTACAGCTCTGGCATTTAGATATTTTGCATTTAAGGCTTGCTACTTATTTACCCATTAAATCATTCTTACTACCTATTCATTCATGCATTCTCTCATTCATTCATTCTTCCATTGTACTTCAGGATTAAAGCTAATTATTATCCTCAGATCCACCGGATTCTAATGTTTTCTCGAAAATCGATGTATTTTTTCATTCGATGCAAAAATTATCAACAATTTTTTTTGCATAAAGCTTTATTTTTACTATTGTTTTGCATATGATATATATATCGAAGTAAATTATAAGTAAGTTATATATATATAGAGTAAATTATATATATATATATATAATTTACTTCTAAGCTTTTGTATATTACACAGTTCTGTAACCTAACTCTCTTGTATTATTGTGAGTAGTATGTTTATATTTATTTGAAATTCCGTAAATAAGTAATTAATTACGTATACATTTACTATTCCAAATACTTAAAATTTTGACACGTCTTTATTTTTATGTGAATTCACAAAAAAATTCTCGCTTTCTACAGTATTCAGTGAATTTATTTTTTCTTATCTAATAATAAGACTTGTCTCTAAAATTTTGAAATGATATTATATAGAACTCGTTTGCTTGCTCAAGCGTATGAATTTATTTTTGAACCTTTCTTACTTTGTTTTTGTAATTACTTCGTTACCAAATCAATGTGAAGAATTTTTCTGAACTCATTTTTTGCTCATTTCAAAATCTAACAATTCAAATATTGTTTTTTCAGAAACAAAAGCATCTTCACTTTTGAATTTGAAAGAAAATGTGTTAAATGTTTAGATGAATACTATGACGGACATGCAGCAGAAACGAATGCCTCAACGTCACATTATGCAGACATAGACGTACCGGTAAAACAACAGTCAGTACTGCAGAATGCTTATGATACTGATCATATCGATCAGTGCATCAGTTCTGAAATGTATCCGAATAGGTTGAAGCTTTTTTTGCACTGTCATACATTTTCTTGATTAAATAAGTAATGGAGACTTTATTACACATTTATAATATTAAGCTTTTGCTCAGACTCCAATGATAGTGAAACTAATGAAAACTTTTCAAAGACTATTAAAAACTTATCAATTTGATTAATTGGGAAAAATGCTAACACGCATACTTTATGTAATTTTTAAAAATGTTTCATGAATTTCTTTTAATCTAATGATCGCTTACAGCTGTAATAACGAATATCGCCATAAACGTCACCGATCTACTGGAGAGTTGGACGATTACTTTCTACCAAGCACATCTGGTGAGCAATTTCAGAATGACGATTATCGCGATGGTCCAGATTCTAGGTGACATTCATTTTCTTGTGAATAATCAACAAGGTTACCAACTAGCGTGTTTCATGGAAAAGATTATTACACCAAAGTTTATTCTTATTCAAAAGTCATTATTGAGAATATGAATAATTTTCAAACACATTTACTGCTTTTAACTGTAAAAAATGTTAAAGTTACTAATTTATCTAAGGAATTTTTTTTTCTGGGAAAATTAAGTAGAAACTAAAAGCAGAACATATAAATATTACTTAATACTTGCATGAATAAGCCTTAAATCACGTTTGTTCGAATTTCGTTATTATAATTCTAACATTGTCTTTGGGTTTTCTTTTCTCATTACAAAAAAAATGCAAGAATTTCAAACGAAATTTTAACACAAATGACAGTTGTTTAACTACAAAAATATCGTAATATTTCACTTTTGTCCATCCAGAAATTTAATTTTTTTCCTCTGACATTTGTTTGACTTTTATTTTTTGACATGCTCATTTTTTCTCAGTAGCGTAAAGTATTGTAAAGAGATTTCTAAGAAAAAATTTGAGAATAATTTATGTATTCAATAGATAAATTTGAGAATAATGAATAGTTAGCTAATGAAAACTCAAAATCACTGTTTTACAGCATTGTAAATGTGAGCTTAACTATTGATACGGCTGTCAGTGTTATCAACCATAGCCATAATCAGTTTACATTGTCGCCAGTAATATTTGTAATTGAGACAATTACAATCTTAATTAAGATACTTCATGATCACTGAAATTGATCTTTTTTGTTCTTATTTTCCAACCATGAATTTAGTCACTGCCATGTTTACTATATACTTCCATCGAATAGATAGTGACCGAAGTTCTTCTCAGTCCACATTCTCGTTATTATTAGTTGTAACTCTAGCATTTCATAGTCAAGATAAAATACATTTCATAGTGAAGCTAGAATAATATTCGATTCAGAAGTACTAGCAGTAATTAATAATAATAACAATTAATAAATATTAAATAATAAACAATAATAAATAATTTACAGTGATAAACAACAAATGAAAATAAATAGTAAATTTAGCCTACTTCTGTCGCTGAATCTTTCTTTATTCGATTCTGACTAAATATTTCTTCCAATTTTTAATCACAATCGGGCAATTGCTTTTGCTGAAAACTATGAGATTATCAAAACGAGTATTCACTTCTTTTTGATTTAAAAAAGTTTTTATATATATTAAAGCGTTATCTTTTAAAGATAGCAAGTATGGCTTTTGTTGAGCACTGAAGATGGATGGATATTTCATTTAATAGAAAAGACCTGTGAGCCGTGAAATGCTTAATTTTGTTAAAACAGAGAAGATTGAACTTTTAATAAACATTTGAGAAAGATATATTGCAGCAGGGAGCATTGGGAAGACGAAAATGGCGATTGGACAGAAGAGCAAGAACCGCTATCATACAACAGCAGGCCACAACCATCACATCCAGCTATGTATCCAGTAAGCAGGTATGCATGTATTTCTCACGTTAAATTACGTGAGATTAACTTGCAACGTACATATAAACAAACTTCTTTAAATGTAATTAGTTGAATGGTAACTGTTCACAAGAAAATATCACTGTTATGCTGTACATTAACACACAATTCTAAACTGTTTTTTTTAAATGATTCAAATTTATTTACAGATTATTTTTATTCTTAAGGACACTTATTGTCGTTATCATTATTTGTCAGGAATTTGCTTCATAGAAAAAGTTTTGCATTGATTTAGGCGCTATCAGATTGAAGACGAAGAGGAGGAGCACTGGAGCGACCCGAGCATTGTGGCACAGTAAGTTTAAATTCATAGGCAGTTTCACTGCGATCTTTCAGAAAAAGTATTTTCTGTCCAAAAAGGAAGATTGTGGGACTGAATTTGTGATTAGTAATTTCAGCATTTGAAGTGGCAACAGGTGGTGGCGTACTTGACGTGATAGAATGCAATTATTAGTTATGACGATACTAACAGCAATTATTATGAACAGAAAACATTAACTTTGCAATTTTTCCAGAATAGTCAATATAGTAATAAGAAAATGGAAAGAAGTAGCAAAAAAAATTAACATTGCTCGTTCGTTTGTTCCTACTTGTACAGCATGAAGAATTTCATGTTTTTCATTTGAAGGAAAAGATTTTCATCGACTACAAGTCAGTATGATATGCCTCCATCAGAATCCGAGCGTGATTCCTTCAGTAGAACTGAAACCGATCACTATGCAAAAGAATCTGACGGACAGACATCTGCAGTTAGCGAGCAATCTATACCGTTAGCTAACGGAACTATTGGAGGCTTCCATTGCTGCAACCAACCTCATAATTCTCTGGAAAAGTAGCTCTTTTTGCCCTTACGAAAGTGAAAGTAAAAGAAAAAAGTAGTACATCACTGCAAGAGTTACGAAACAAGCAGATTAAGTTTGATTTACGTGAATTGTAGAGATGTGAAGGAAAGCGTAGAAAATGAATTCAATCATACTTTCGACACCGAGTACAAGCAGGAGCCCAAGAGCCATCCAGCTACGTCGCTAGTATTTCTTCAAACTGACAAAAATTCCAGGAATCAACCGTAAGATTGACTAAGTCATATTTCAAAGCATAAAACTAGCAGTCATAATTTTTTCTTTATTTATTTTTAAATGGAGGGCAACATTTTTATTTTCAGAAGTGATTCACAGTTGAGATCGAAAAGAAATTACAGAGATTTGTGGCATCAAGCCTATAGCGAAGCATGCCGAAAACTCGGCATCAAGGTTATATTTCTATCAACCTTGTAATTTTATTCTGAATTGGGCTTAAGTTTTGAAAAGCTTTCATCAAAGGTAACTTACTCTGCATACAAGAGCAGAAGAACTATTGATACAGAACAAATCTGTTGGTTACTGCCCATGAAATATGTAGGCTTTAGTGGCTGACAGGGAACAATTATTTGGTTCTTGACGGAAGCTTTATTTGTTGGTTTTATCTGCACAGAAAAACAGGAATCCGTCCTAGAAGTTAGATGCTGGCTAATAAAAAGTCTTGGACTATTAGAAAGAAAATGACTTCTTTCTTTGCACTTCAACTTGCATTTATAATTGCTGACATGCTTTTGACATCCGACCTATAAAAGCATCCGCAAACGTCCATGACCTTCTTCTCAGCAACAAATAACTGAATCTGCTTTGCTGACCTCGCTGTGCAGTATTTAGCATGGTTTTGAGCATTGAAAAGATCACATTATAAATTATAAACTTTTGCTTCCCATTTATAAAACTATCAAATAAACTGATTTCCTTCTTCTTTTCTGATCACATGTCTTGGATATTAATATACAGATGTCTGCTTTTCAGAAAATCAGTCTTGTATTTTGAGTAGCCCAACTGTTAGTTCAAAAATTCAATCAAATCGTATCATCAAAAATGATGAATTTTGATCATGGAAAGCTGAGTCTTTGATATTTTAGATATTTCATGTGCCTGAAAATATTCATAATTTTCAGTGACTAAATTTCTGCCGTTTCAAGTTTTCCATCAAATTTTCGGATGGCAACACTTACTACAGAATCTTATTCAAATCAAACTTCAATTACTGATCAATTCAATTTTTGTTCTCTGCGAATTGATTTATCGCATAAGTTTGCAGTAATAATTTTGGAAAAAAAATCATGAAATTCAGTTTTACATCGAGTTATTTCACTAAATTGTGGGGTTGACTTCATTCAAATTTGGTATTTGATTGCTTGACTTTCGTGATTTACATCCTTAGCTCAAAATTAAAGGTTGATTTTATTAGTTATTGAGTTTGATGTGGATAAATTATATGAAGTTGAAGTACTAAAACATACTTTGGCATTCATCACGCACGGAAACAGAGCTATTCGCTTGTCATTTTTACTAAACATGATTTGTGATATGGCAGTAGATAACATTTGTAATTTATGGATTCCTAAAAACATTATAGAAGGAAATCTTGTTCCTGGCATTTGATAGACCATTGCAAGTAGCGCTTAGATGCTTGAGTAATCATTACTAAAGTAAAATCAAAATTTAAATTATTTCATATCTATCTTTTTGCCATACAAAAATTTCAATATTTTCAACTTATGAATTTAATTTTTAGCATATTAAATTAGCTTGTTTAAAATTTTTTTCCAAGTATTCTGTACTAATTTGAAATTTGCGCTTTTTTGATTATGTTGTTAAGTTTGGGCAGATTTTATGCAAACTTCTCTGATTTACAAATTTTAAGATTGAGTTTGTCTCTGTTTCCTAAAACTAAAGTTGCTTCAAATCTTGATTCTAGAGCTTGATTGCTCACTTTGCATCTTTTTCCTAATTCTTATAGTTTGAATTTTTAGTGATACTCGAGCATTTTGTGATTAGAATTTGCAAATCTCACCTTGTTCTACTGATAGCTTTGTTCAAAATTTAACCTGCTTATGGAGAAGAAAAAGAAATTTACGAGGGAGACAGTGGCAGAAAGTTGTAAAATAAATCATTCATATTCCAAGTTAACTTTGAATAATTGCATGCAATTCTAATAATGTAAGTTGGTTCACTTATGCATTCTTACCCATTTGTTATCATGTCAGAAGCAGTTGGTTATTTTACTATGCTAGATTACTCTGAAAACAATTTTCTTCTTTTCATTTAAGTGATTTTTGCTAATTCTCTTTTGCATTCTGTTAACAAAATTAGAAGCAGTCAAGAAATGCAGGTAAGTTTTGACAAAGTTTAAGCAATATATTGAAATCAGACATTTACTTTCATTTACAGGTTTCCCATAGTGTCACTAAGGTAAGAAGAAAAAATTTTCGTATTAAAATATAAATCTCACTTGAAGAACTGAGATCAGTTTTTAATCTGCATTTTTTTATCAGTTACTTTTTGAAAAGAGGCGAATGCTCAAAAATTGATACCAGTGAATTTTTTGAGATTTCAAGATCTTATGAGACTAACTGCAAAAAATATCAGTAGATGATGATATCTTGTAGTACCTCTCTATTTATAGTTATCTAGGGAAATCACTTGAATAATTATAGCATCTAAATTATCTGTCTTCGAAAAGTAATGCCGGCACATTTTTTATCTTTAACAACAAACTTCTTGTGCGAACTTGACGTCTGCCCAACTACAAGATTCTCATTTCTTTCTTTTTTTTCAAAATTTGCTGGTTAGATTCTGAAATGAGTGTTGGAAGATTATTAATTCACAACTCTATTCTTGCTGTCCTTTGCTAGAGAACGAGGACAAAAACATAAGTAACTTAAAATTGTGCATTTTTAGTGTTTTTAGATTTAAACTAGAAGTAGCATGACTGATTATGTTATTTAAAAATATTGATTTGACTGGAAAATCACTTGTTTTCATCACAATTGTTGGCAAACACTATTATTAATGAGGTAAGAATAATTAAAATTTGTAGTGTCATGTAGTTAACTTCATCTAAGTACTGATTATCGAGCTTAAGCTAGGTGAATGCTATTTTGGAGCAGAGAAGAAGTGCTTTGTTTATCAAAAATAACAAAAATAAATAATGGTGGTTAGATCAGCACTTCCAGTGGTACAACACGGGCCTTCACTACTTTCTTTTCTTGTATTCTTTAATCTTTATTGTTCATTAACGTACTGATTTGGTTTTCCTGAGTTATTTCTATGTGCAACTTTAATTTAAAGGCGTAATTGTACTTTAAGAATCTAAAAGCGTTTCTGATTAAAATTATGCTAAAAATGTGATTTAGTTCTATTCTAAATCATCTTTAGAACTAATACGAATTTCAAATCCGATTATTAATTTCATGCAAAATTCTGCTTTCTCCTGCCCGTTTAAATAAAAATATGCTACGCTTGCATTAGCAATGAGAACTAAATTTTCATCTAAAATATAATCTAGCATAATGATCTCAATGTGACTAAGGCGATTATGTTGACGGAGCATTCACATTGAATAATTTAAAGTATTCAAGTATTTGAACATTAATTCATAGATAAGATTCGTTTCTGATAATTACCGAACTGTATAATCAGTAGCATCTTTTTTTCTTGTTGGAATGGTAAACTGCATACGACTGCTCGAATAACTTACTCAGTCAAAACTTTGTAATTAACTGTTTTAATACTGTGTTTAAATCAAGGATTATGTGATGGAATCAGTTTTTCTGAGTCAATCAAAAATGAAACAGCCTGCTGCATCAGATACTAGCTCAGAACTTTTGGCATTTTCAAAATCGTTTAAGAAGACACGAAAGGCCAGCAACATGATTTGTCGAAGTAAATTTGATTGCAGCAGAAAACAACGAAAATATCATAAATGTCGTCGGTCGGCAAGTTTACCGAATTCCAAAGATCTGTATGCTGTTGTACGAGATAATGTATTACCACAAAATATTAAACAGTATTCATCATTACAATTATCTAAGTTGAATTCTTCAATGAGAAAGCATTGTGAACGATATTCCTCATTGGATGAACTTTCTGCGTGGTATTTTCAAATGCGAAATATCAATGAGGAAAGTTGTATAGATTGTCTACGCGAATACAAACATAATTTGACATTACCTACTTCGTGCGTTTCATGCAATATTTACCATGCTATAGATCACTTGGGGTCACAATTAAAACTTAACGATGTAGTAAGGTCGAGTGGGTCAAAAGAAAAAGAGACTAAAGCAGCGACAAATTTAAATTCTAACTTTACTCCGAGCAATGAAAGAGTGAGTTATTCGGCCTCAATTATATCATCGATAATAATCAAAATAAAATAGTAGTGATGAGAACTGCTTGTTACAGAACAGTGACAAATAAATTTGTGGACACTGTGTACGTGTTAAACTGAAACTGTTAAGGTTGAAAATTTTGTAAATAATTAGAATGAAACCAGTGACAGTGTTAATCAGAATACACAAGCATTATCTTCGAAATTCGTCAAGAAATTAGCGGTCTAATTACACAGATAGAAGTTTCATTATTTTCAAACACAAGGCATTGGAGGAGGTTCTGCCAATTTTTGGTTGCATTTCTAATTCTTATTATTTAATAATAAGACTGATTTGATTTAGTGATTGTATTCCGTCGGAAGCGTAATTTTGTTTTAATTTTTATTTTTTGAGAGTGACAGTAAACCAAATATCCTCTCATTATTTATAGTGTTGACTAAAAGTCAATACAGTGCACAATACATGCAAACTTAATGGTATAAAATTTGGTTTTGGTAAGGTATATTAAAATTTTTCCTCTATTCAAATCAAACATTACCATCTAACTCTTATTTGGACTAATATATTTTTCATCCTGCTTTCAGCCAACTTTGCTTGAGACGAATACTGCCGAAAATTCGTCAAGTGCCTTCTATAGAATTATCGATGCGATGCCTAACATGAATATATTGCGCACAAAAAAGAGTATACCTCTCGTCAGTGAATTGGTATATTACTACTTTTATCTTATTTCAGCCAAATGTTCTAGTTTTAATATCATTTGTTTAAAATCCCATGGTCGTTCCACGAGTTTAGAACCTAGGGCTTATAACCTTCCAAATGACTGTGAGGTACTGCGTATTTGATAGATTTGATAGTATAGATCTCTTAATATGGTATTAGAAAAAGAAGTAATGTAGATCGATTCAGTTCAAAGGAAAGAATGACATTTTAAGCACTTTAAGTAAGCTATTTTCCTACTACAAAGTGCTGTAAATTTTGCTCGTGCAGTGATTTTAAGTCTAGTTGATAGTTTCAGTTATCTTTCAGTGATTTTTTAAGTTACTCCACTATTAAAATTATTAATACGTAGCCATTATATTGCTTTTCATAATAGAATGAAGCAATTTTTTAACTGTAAAACTTTTTACTATTACAAAAGCTTGCATATCCTAATAATCTTGTCTAAAATGTATTAAATTCAATCAAAAAAGAACTGATTTTATGCTAACGTATTCCTTTCTTACAGGTTTTGAAGGTAAGCAACTTGAAAAACAGTTTTATCGTCGTGTACTAGCTATGAATGATAAAGTGTTAAGAATGGGCTTAGTTTCAGAACTTGTTGGAAGTAGAAAGGAGAAAATATACTAAGAAAAAGGATATAAAGTTTTCACATACCTAAAGTCCATCGCAATCCCAAATTTTCATTATCAGTCGGTCCTTCTCTACACTTTTAGATGCCAATTTGTCCGCAGCATGCTGAGAAATTTGCTTCCTTGCACTGTGAGATTGTATGCATAGTTTTATTCACTAATACTCTGCACAATAACATTAGTCCAGGTATTGAGAATTTTTAAAAACCCACTCCATTTTGATCAGACAGACTGCAAATTTTCAAGACTTTCTAAATCAGATGAAAAATACTGCAAATTCTTTCAACGAAAACTTTCAAAATAATTCTACTCATTTTTCTTTGAGTTACAAAGCAAGTAGATAGAATCACAATGTCGTTAAGTCATCAAAGAATTCAGTTTCCGATTTTAGCAAAAACTTTTTGCAGATTGGCTGATCTTACGGGTTAATCTACCAAAAACCTTAAACACATTTAAATAAAATAATAACGTTCTTTCTCTTAACATCTCCAAATATTTCTTCAAAATTTGGAAAAAATCAAAGCAATAAAAAATTGACGTGGTCTTAAATAAAACAGCAATAAGAAATTAAATATTTGAAATTTCAGATAATGAGTGTTTAAATGTGCCGTATAAATAAGCTCAGAAGTATTTATTTCTGTCTTTGATGGAATAGGTTTACTGAAGCAAATTTATCAACAGTCCTGCTCATAGTGAAAATCTCAGATAAATTTGTTAAAAGAAATCAAAGCTTTCAAACTGCAAACTCTTCAAACACTGCTAGCAAATTAAAATAAAAATAAATGATAAAAGTTAATTGAAGGAACTTTTACATATAAACAAATATTAAATCCTATTTTTCAATAAAGAAATATGGCAAATTTTCTCAGTCTTAATATGCAGAATTTTGAATATTTAATAGAAGTTGATTCAAATTTAGAAGTGAACTTGATAGCTGCTGCTATAGAAATAAGAAGCATTGTGATATTCATATTTTCAATTTACCGAGTGGGATTTCAGTCACTTGAAAAACCATAATACCTTTATTCTACAAAAAATTAACAAAATCTTGACGATAGTATTCTGATCATACGCAGAATAGTGCATGTTAACTACTTGGAGCATTAAATCTATTGTGGTCATCATTGTGATCATTGCATGTCACTATTTTTGTTTTTTCACTGATGGAAAAATTAGATGAATTATTTTTCATGCAGACAATGGCAACTAAACGAGCTCAAGCTGGACTTGCAAATGCTGCCAGAACAACATTTGGTGATGATGAATTGGTAATGAACTTGTAGTTCTTTAAGTCTGAAGATAATTTTAAACTTGCAGTTTGTAACCCGAAAATTGAATTTTATGGCGAAAATTTCATTACGCACTTTTCTATTGCACTTATTTGATTACCACTACGTTTCTCTGATAGTATATTAAATTAAACTTAACAAGCATAAAAATGATGGATAATATTATTCTAGAAAATGCATGTTTACAAAAAAACATTACAAGCACTGATTTATCCAATCAGTTGCACTACACCTCACATTTTCCAAGTGACCAATTTTCAAACACCAACTTGGTGCTATGAATGTGAAGGGTTACTGTGGGGTTTAGCTCGACAAGGTCAGTCATATATCTACCAAATAATTCTAAATTAAGCTTGAAGTTGATATGAGAAATCATGTAGTAGCTAGTCTGCACTGAGGAGTGGAAAAATTACATTTAATATTGAAAATGAATGGTTATTAAATTATACTTTATTCTGCTCAGTTGCTCTAAAATGAATGAATTAATACTTGTTTGGATTATTAATGATCAGACAAGTCAGGACGAATGTGTGTGGTGCGCACGCTAAACAGACATGGACATTTCGCTTTTGAGTCAGATACTATTTTTTATGAAAACAAATTTGAATGCTAGGAATTTCAGGTCTGAAGTGTGCCGAGTGTGGCGTTAAAGTTCACGACAAATGTCGAGACTTAATAAGTGCAGATTGCTTACAAAGTAATTTTTTTCCTACTTTTGATAATTGATAGCTAAAATGTGTTCACTTAAATCAATTCAAATATTCTTCACCCAAACACTTTCAAGTCATAAAAGTATTCAAAGGATTCTTTTGCTAACGTATAACTTGTACTTTTAGGAGCAGCAGAGAAAAGCTCCAAACATGGCGAAGGAGATCGAGCTCAAAATCTGATGGCCGTAATTCGAGATAGAATGAAAATTCAGGAAAGGAATAAACCTGAAATCTTTGAGACTGTTCGGTTTGTGTTGTGCTCTGATATTAGCTTTAAATTAAATTAGAGCGGTAGATGCAAGGAATTCATACGATCAAAGTTTTTCAGTCATCCGATATAAATAAGGAATTACAGATGATGTATGTAGTGGATTTTAAAGTGTTGTTGGAAGTTTTGTCAATAACAAATTAATATATTCAGTTTTCTTACAGTGTTACCAAAATTTTTGCCAGTGATCAGCAAGTGCTTATTAACAAAAAACTGGCTAAAGTAGTTAGTTGATTGTACTCAACAACAATTAGGAACATCAAAAGTTTTTCTTTGTACAATCAATTTATACTGTCTATATTTACAGGATAATTTTCAATATTGATATAAACGTGCAATTGGAGACATTGAAGCAAGTAAAAGCAAGTATTCTGGAGGGAAGTTCTAAATGGAGTGCCAAGATTGCTCTTACAGGTGACTAATAATTCAAGTAATTGGATATAAAATCAGAAAGAGACCTTTTCTGAAATATTTAGGTAAGGTAAAAGTATATTTATAGAATAACGAGATGTAAATTCGCTCAGATTAGTATATATATATATAAACTAAACCTGATTTCGAACTTAAAAATATTTAAAAAAATTTAAAGCAGTGATCACTTGAAGTCTGTTAAAACCGTTTTACTCCTTCCGATATTTTTCCAAAAAAATATTAGTTTCTTTAAGAAATCACATTACCGTTGTTATTATTTACTCATAACTGGCTGAAGAATAGAAAGTAAATTGCGCAATTGTATTTATTCATAATGGGAATTGCTAAAAAAATATACTTCTGATTAAAAATTTTCAGTAATTTGTGCTCAGGGATTGATAGCCAAAGATAAAACGGGTAAGAGTGATCCATATGTAACTGCTCAAGTAGGTAAAATGAAGAAACGAACCCGCACAATACATCAAGAACTGAATCCAATCTGGAATGAAAAATTCTTTTTGTAAGTTTGCAAAGTTTTTTCTGCTTGCTTGTTTTTCGATTAATTTTAAAAGAGCAAATTTAAATATGATAAATTGATAAATATCATTACTGAGTGAAAAAGCGCATGAGTTCTATCCTCAAAACTACTCTTTATACATTGGCAAACTTCGAAAATTTCTTCTCATATCAAAATGTCATTCTCAGTATTTTACTGTCCAAAATAAACTTTTAAACGATTTTTCAACTTTGGTATAAATCGTGAAAAACTTAATTGTAATCGCGGATTCTAAGTTTTCTTGTCTTGTACTCTTCTCAGTAGATAGCATACGTAATCCAACAGTGCTAATAAATAAGCTGCTACAAATGTTTCAAAAAATAAATATTTAAATCTTTTGATAGATTAAGGATGAAATTTTGGCATTGTTTCCTTACAGTATTTCGTGAGGACAAAATGTGACATTGCAGTGAATGTCATAATTCGACAGATAGAATCAAAATTCGTGTTTGGGATGAAGATAATGACTTAAAGAGTAAGCTGAGACAAAAGCTAACTAGAGAGTCAGATGATTTTCTTGGTCAAGCAATTATCGAGGTGAGGACATTGAGCGGTGAGATGGATGTTTGGTATAATTTAGGTTAGCTATTCTCTTTTGTTCTCAATATTAAGCTTAATTAGAAATTTTCAAATCGGTAGGTAGAGAAGTAGTTCGATATCTATTTCAGTATCATTTGTTTAGAAATCACTATTTTTATGTTAGAAAAAAAACATGCAATAGACTCAACTCCTAATCTTCTTTAGAATGAGTAGGATAATTTGTCCAACGAGTTGAAAACTCTAGCATTTGAAGAACAGCAAGGTAAGAGATTATGAGAATAGTTTGCTGCTGATAAAAATGGAAAAGTAATTAGCAGTTGAATCATATTTGACTGCTATCTGATATTTTTCACTTTTTTCCTAGAAGATCGAACTTTGTAATATTTATGTAACTATTTATATACGGTTTGTTTCTTTGCAGCTGCTAACTTGTAAATAATAACATATTAGTTTTCTCTCAAAAACATATGAACTTCTGAATTCAATCACTGATATTTTATGATTTCAATAAAAAATTATCAGCGCTACACTAGCAAAAATGTAATCATTCGCTAGAAATGATTACTTTTTTGTGTGGCATATTTATATTTAATTATGGAAATAACTGCATCCAAGTTTCATCTAAAAACGACTAAACGTAAGATTAGCTCGATCTCATCTATTCAAGTAGTTTAAAATTCAATGCTCGTGTTAATTATACAGAAAAACGAACGGATAAGTCAGCGGTAAGTGGCGCCATTCGATTGCACATAAATGTTGAAATTAAAGGCGAAGAAAAATTGGCTCCGTATCACATTCAGTACACATGTTTACATGAACATTTATTCCAAGTAAGTATTCATCTTTTCTGTGAGAAAGTTATTTTTCAAAATACTTCATAAGAAAAATAATTAATTAGCTAATTAATTAATTGTCATAATAATGCAACTGTGGCAGGAAGGTATTAGGTCGCTAGAAGATAACAGCTAAGTGTTTGAAAAATTTTTGTATCATAAATGCAATCAGTTGGTAGTGTCACTCATTTCCTTCAGATTCATATTATTACTTTCTTTTCTGTTTTTTCTTTCTATAAGGACTCATTTGTACTCATTTAATTGTTTATTAGCAGCATATATTGTTACTTTTTCATCAAAAACAAAGTCGAAATCTTTCAAATAATTACCTTTTCTGATGCCATAAATGCATGCTAACACATGGAACTTTAGCACCACTGCACGGAACAGGACGAAGTTCGACTTCCAGATGCTAGAGATGATGACTCTTGGAAAGTATATTTTGATGACACTGGTCAAGAAATTTGCGATGAATTTGCTATGCGTTACGGTATCGAAAACATCTATCAGGTTACTGATGAGCGTATAGAGCACTTTTGCTTTCCCTGTGATTAATAATAACGAAAATAATTTAATTTGTATTATGAAGTTTACTAATTGATAAGCAAATTTGTCACTAGAACCTACTTTCAGTGCAATACAAATTTTCTTCATATTAGTCGAATTATTCTTTTTTCTCATGTTGAAAAACAATGCACGCATGATATACTTGGATGTGTGTTCATGCATTCTCATATGGCAAACTGTTTCTTGCAGTTTTATTCTGTTTACACTGTCATGAAAACAGAAGTGCGAGTCTGCCTGTAAATATCAATGATTATTCTTAATTTGTACCATTTGTAAATTTCAGGCGATGACGCACTTTGCATGTCTCTGTACGAGATATATGTGCTCAGGGGTACCTGCAGTACTGTCAACTCTGCTTGCGAATATCAATGCTTACTACGCTCATACGACCGCTACCTCAGCCGTGTCAGCATCAGATCGCTTCAATGCTTCAAATTTTGGCAAAGATCGCTTTGTAAAGCTATTGGATCAGCTGCACAATTCTTTGCGAATTGACCTCTCCATGTACAGGGTGAATCATTTTCTTTTTTGAAAGTGAGAACATTATTTTAGTTACAAAAAGTAGTCTCACTCATTACCATCCATCTTTGCTTGATTATTCTTGTGATTATCGACAAAAAATTTCTAAATTTTTCTGTGTTAAGATTAAGCTTTGAGAAGTTTTTTAGACCCTGAAAGGCCCAGTTAAGCCTTTCTGTTATTTATTTCCTTTTTTGGTATTTTATAAACTTGAGGTTTCTTTTCACGATCAGAAGCATTTCTGTTGCATTTTGTTTCTTTTAGAGTTTGGCGCAGTGATCCCTCACTGCTAAATCTTTCAACTTTTTTAAAATATGAAGTTTCTGCTATGCCTTAGCTGACTCCTACTCCAATGAGCCTCTGCTTATGGAACTCTTGCTGGTTTGAGTAAGATAAGCTTTCCTAATTTTTGATTAAGCAAGACTAAAATCACTGCAAAAATCAGCAATTTTTCTTTGCATAGACCGAATTTTAATCTAAACACTGAAAACTAAGGAAGGAAAATGACGTTAAGTGAATGATTGTGTTTGACTTAATACATTTTGTGAAGTAATTGTTTGTCTTCAAGCTTATAAAATTGAAATAACTTAAAGCTAAATTGTATCTGCGAATAAATTGAATTTTTTTTCATATTTTGCAAATTCAATTTGATTATGATAATGAATAAAAACGCTTCTAACATTCACTTCTTCGGTTTAATTAAAACACTGTATTTAAATTATAGCATGCATTGCTGTGTAATGAATAAGTTTATTTGTAATAAGAAATAATTTTGGTTTCTGTAACTGTCATAACAGGAAAAAGCATAGTTTCAATCAAATTAGCTTTTAAGAAATGACGTTTATTTGGGAAAATATCTCCCGGTTTTGATAAGAATTAGATAACAATTTTTCTTATGGAAATTGTCGTAATTTCTGTAAGAAAAATTATTTTAAGATCAGTAAGGTGGGAAAAAAGATCTATCTTTTTGTATTCCCCAATCTAGCGGTATTTGTTCCGCTCTCAGATTTATTGTGTTTATCTTGTTGGTTCATCCTCGTCGAATCCATAGCGGTGAATGAATGAGATACTTCCGAACGTCTTTAGCACTATCGTTTGGATACCTACCTCGAGTGATCAGAAATACTAATCTCCTTCGCTAGCGTATATCAAAGTTTGTTACAATTCCATCTCAAATCAACACACAGAAATGATTTTCGTCCGACATTTCATCTCTAACCCAAGTTTATTAGCCAGTAGATCATATTTTTGCTGTTTATCGGTTGATTGTTGTCAACCTGTCCTAACTAATGATACCAACCTCTATGAAGATTACTTCATGTCCCTTCTTATTTATCATGATATCTGGCTGTTTCTACTCGCCTATCAACTCTGATCTTCATGTTCTCAATCGGGACGACCTCTTGAATAGAATGGCTTCCTATGCGCGGGAATGCTTTCAAAATATACTTCTTTCAGATCAGAAGGATACACCACAGCACCACATTATATCTTCTAGTGCAGTCGTGACATAACATTTTTTGGCACTGCGTTGTTAGATGGTCCACCGTTTTCAAACGTTCGCTACAATCTTCGCATATATCTTTTTCAGCTCTAAACATATTCTATTTTGGAAGTAGCAGTATCGTGTTTCAACTTGCGGGGTAATATTTCTCTGACATTGAGGCTAGCTCATTACTGCGCATCTTGCATAGCTTTGCATGATGAATTTTCTTTTCTGTTTCGCTGTACAGGAGCGCTTTCTGAGCTGCTGCTAGTTTTCAGTGGTTGGATTTTCTACGAGGTTGTATTAATCTGAAGGTAGGGCACAATAATTGCTAAATATGTGTTGTGGACCTTTTTTCGCTTCAAAATCGCCCTCCTGGTAGATAGGGGTGCGATATCTACAAGAACATTACGTAGTTGGAGAAGTACAAGCTCACTCCTCTGCTCAGCATTATGAAGTCCACGTCTTAGCTTGTACCTTGGTAGGTACAGTCTTTCCAAGCATGCAGATTGCTTGTGAATTTCGTTTTTGTGTAGTAGCTGTCTGATATCGTGGTCTATAGCCTTGAAGTCTTCTGGCTCCAAGTAATTTATTAGGCTTATGGCGTGCTCAATCACAGCCTTGATAAAGTTCTTACCATTTAGTGCAGTTTTGGCTAACCGCTCAGTTCTCATTAAAATCTCTGCACGGACTTTATCATAGCTTTCACGGGTGGGTGCGCTAGTCTTGTCTTCCACTATTCTAAGGTATTTGCACCCTTAATTTCCTTCCAATAGTGCTGCTTTATCAACGCTGTTAGTGGCTGAGATTTACTTCTAGTCCTACCGCAACAAGAAACTTCTTAACTTCTTCGGCCATAGATTTTATGATATCCTCATCGGTCGCAAAGATCTCGAGATCATCCACAAACAATAGATGATTCGTTATGACATTCCTAGATCACTTGGAACTACCATCTTTGAGTACTTTATATTGAGTCGACGGCTCAACGAGTCCCATGCACAGGACGAATAGCAGCGGAGAGACGCTATTACCTTGGAGAATTCCTTGTTGTATTTTCTTCTCCTTTGCAGTTTCCCCAATGTTCTTAGTACTTCTGCCCATCTGGACGTGTTGCTTCTCAGAAATCTGCTGATCCACGATGGCATGTTAAGCGTTTCAATGCACTTAATCAAGTACCCGTGATTGATTGAATCGAATGCTTTTTAATGTCATACCACGTAGTTGCTGTGCTATCTGCATACATATATATAGAGTGCCGAGCACTTGAGCTGCCAGCTAGTCGATCGCATCATAAAGCAGGAAAAAAGCGGTAAATGGAGGAGAAACGGAAAAAGCAAAGCCTGGAACCATAACTGAAAACAAGTGGAAAACAGGTGGTGAGGTTGTTGAAGAAAGCTCCGTGAAGGCCATGAGAAAGCACTTGAACAGTGTACCGGAACCAGCAGAACGGATTGTCGGTCGAGTACAGCGAGAGTGCCAGAGCATGATTTGACGCGAGAATTAAGAAGACATAAAGGAAGATTAACCTCCGACCTGCTACACATGATCCATATCAATATCAGTCAATATGTATATATATGAGAGAAAAGAAAAAAATACACTGAAGGAAAAAAAAGATCTTTGCTGTTCCATTGCTTTGCCACTTTCATTCAAATTCTGAAAAATTGAATAATTAAGTCCTAATTTTATAGCTCGATCATAAAAGAGCTAATCATTATTATGAAAGATTTAAAAGTCTTGAAATGAAAATCAGCCTTCAGGCAATTTTCATTTAGATGCAGGACATGTCTACATCGTAAATTGAACTTAAAGACGTTTAAAGCTAGACACGAAGTATTTTTTGCTAACTTATTGGGGAGATTTTAAGTATTAACATTTTTTCATATTTGAATAAGAGTAATAACATTTATATCAAATGAGCGAGAGTGTTATTTTCTTACAAGTCATCAGAAGCTAGCAATATTAAAAATTCCTTAATTCATTTGAGAAATGCAAGGATTTTATCATCTTTGCAAAATGATTATTGAGGAAGGACATGTAAGTATTCGAAAAATGCAATGTAATTACTACGGAATAATCAAGAGCTTATTTTTTGGTTTTGCCATGAGGTTCCATTAGTCGAGTAATGATTTATTTGACTGTGTTAATTGCAAGATCGCAATAAGATGCAATGAACATTAGCTATGAAATATGACATCTAATGATTGCCATGAAATCATGAGGAAAGTAAGTGATAAATGAGTACTATTTCAGTGGTGACTTAGTTTTTAGTTTCATGTTTTGTGCAGCCCTTACGTGATAAATTGGTGTGTTGCTCAGTGAAGCTTATATTGTGAGACAAGGTGAGAATTACTTCTTAGACTTTTAATGAAGATGCCCATTTTGAGCATAGCAACAAGATATGTTAATATAGTTATTCTTCATTCTTGATTCACGATGTGAGAGAACCACACTTAAAATTATTACTTTTATTATTATCATTGTTATTTTCGTCATTATGATCCATATTACTGTAGCCTTAATTAGCATGACTTTCACATGCGGGAAAAATGGCTCCATAAATTTTACTCATTCATGAAATAAAAATTTTAATCCTTCATAAATGATTTTCAAAATTTTAATTCTTCATAACTGTTTTGTAACATTAATTGCAGCTTCTATTCAAAATATTTATTTTTTGGAAAGAAGTTTCAATTATCAAAAACTCAGGTTTTTCTATTATGCCCTTCGTTACGCTCTTTTTTAATGAGTACAACGTCACTATGAATCTGTCCCAACCGTTTTCACGTGAAACACTCTTGTAGATAATGATTAAGACTTGTCAAAGTCAAGATTCTTTCGCATGTTTCACCATTTTCTTCAATTGAAAAAATATATAATGTAAGCAGAAAAGAAGCGGAAATGGAAAATTGATGTAGCAATTTTAAAATGTAAAAAACAGCTTAAATCTCCTATTTATTTATTCACTTGTTTATTTATGCTGGAATTTTTCAAGCCTTCATTCAACTAATGAATATTTTTCTCATGCTATCAGTGAAAATAGCAACTTCAGATTCTTCTTGCTTACACAGTAGACGAGAAAGCGCATAATGCAGAAACCAAAGAAAAGTCTCTGCTGAGTAATAAAAAGTCATAATTTTGCCTCTCAATCTAAGTCACAGATGATTTTCCTTGCTTTTATATCAATTTTAATGGGACAAGTTACTTATTAATAATTCCTCTCATTACTCTGTCCTGCGAAATGGAGACGTAATAACTTTTATCTGTCACTAATAATCCGTTAAAGACGATTTTTAAGTTATATTTTTTGTATGTTTATTTGTTACATGATTCAAACTAGCTTTTTTGAACCTTTGCGAAAATGTTGACAGCAGTTAACTATGTTGGAATCAAAAGTTTGAAACTTGAATCGTTAACCAGAATTATCACAGTATAAACATTCCCATAATAAGAAATAGAAGAAAATGTAGGCTCGATACCATCAAGATATCTAGCCTACTCGATACCATTAAGGTATCTAGCCTACTTTTTCTTTAATATCATTAAGATGTAACCTACTAATAACCTTAACATAATTTACTACATATATGAAAATAATTTAACGAGTACTGTAGCTAAAAAAGGATTTGTTTAAAAATCTACATCTAAAATGATGTCAACTTTCAGAAATATTTTCCATCATCGTCTCGAGCCAAATTGGCTGACCTGAAATCAACAGTAGATTTATTGACGTCGATAACATTTTTTCGTATGAAAGTACTGGAGTTAGCGAGTCCTCCACGCGCTTCTAATGTTGTGAGTGAATGTGCGAAAGCGTGCATGCAGGTGAATACTGCATTTCAATCTTGTAATGACATTTCCATTTGATTTAATATTAATGAAATCAAAATTGTATGGGAGCTTAATATTATTTCAATTTTGATTTTAGCTGACCTTTGGCTTGTTTGCATCTGAGAGGTAGGTAAGTGAGTATGGTGCAAGCTTAAATTCGAAAGCGTATATTAGGATTTGATCGTTGTTTGCTTATCCTGTTCCCTCGCACAATCTCAGTAAAAGCTGAGCTCGGCAAAAATAAGCGAAATTAGTGGTCAACAAGTTATTTACAACGCTTTTTTAGGCTACATATCAGCTGATGTTTGAAAGTTGCTGTGAGGATGGTGGTCCCTCAGCAGATAGTGTAAAATTCTGGTTTGACTTCCTGGATTACATGATGAGAGTGATCGAAGACGACAAAAATATCTACACTCCTGTCCTGAATCAGTTCCCACAGGAACTGAATGTTGGCAACCTATCGGCAGCAACATTATGGCAGTTGTATAAGACTGATTTACAGATGGCATTGGAAGGTTAGTAAGAGTTTTTTACTCGTACTTTTTGTTTCTAATATTCATTTTAATCTTAGAGTTTAGTAGATGAAAAAATAAGAGTTTTCTCACATATTTACATCACTAATTCGAAATTGTTTTGTTTACCTCAATAACTGAAATACCACTTACAATAATGTAAAAAGTTTTCACAAAGTGGATGTGAGTAATTTCTTTAACTGTTTAAGAAAAATTTCAATTTAAAAAGCTCTTTAAATACTTCGCAAGTTTGATTGTCATCATTATTACCTTTCAGTATTACTTATTATCTTTTTAGTCATGAAAGAGATATTCAAAATTATTTTTGTGAAGATATAATTCAAAGTTACTCAGAAATTAAAATAAATATATTAGTATTATTTGTATTTCTGTATTTCCTTGCATTTGAGTACTGAAAGATTTGATAAGTTCTTTTGTCATGAACTAGTTATTATTTAAAAATTACTTTTCTGAATTAAAAATGATTAACTGTGTTAATGCTCTGGCAAAACTTTTTCAGAACATGCACAGACAAAAAAATGTTCAACACCTGAATACATGAATCTATATTTCAAGGTGAAGGGGTTTTATTTCAAGTATGTTGCTGATTTGCCCCAATATAAAGCTTCGATTCCGGAATTTCCTGCGTTAGTTCTAGGATATTCTGATTATTGCAAAAAAAACTGACTTCTATTGTGTTTTGTCCTGTTTTTGATCTACTTTCTTTTTGCATTAAGTTCGTAAAAGAAATATCAAACTTAATTCATTTGTTTTTCAAATTTTGAAAAATCTCTTGATACTTTCTATAAATCATAATCGTTTGCTATTTTAGTTTCAGGTATTTTAATAGATTGAACAATGAAAATGAGTACTATCTAATGCAATTTTTGTCTTATCAGTACAGTTACTGGCTTTTAAATCAGTAAATTTTAGTTGGTTCATACCATTTGTAATGGATTGGCTGAATGAGAATGATGAACATTCCATGGACATACTCAGAAATGCGTATAATCGTGATAAAAGTGATAATTTTCCACAAACATCAGAGCACACAAAGTTCTCAAATTCCGTTGTTGATGTTTTTACACAACTTAATGAAGCTCTTAAACTGCTCAAACAAGTAAGGAAATAAATTCAGAAAACGTCTTCACTGTGTCATTTTTCTATTCTGAAATATTGAATTAAAAGTAGATTCATCTCAAAATATTTGCCGTAAATGTAATTGTGCTAAAAATAATGAACAAAAGTGTAGAACATAATCCAGTAGAATGAGCATACACAAAATTAGGCTGTTAAAAAAAGGCAGATTTTTTAAAATCCTTACTGACTTACTCATAATTTAGAATTGGAAAGTAACACATAAAGAAATTAGCAATTTTTCAACATTTACTCGATTTATGAGTTAAATTATGTAGAGAAAGAAATGGCTTAAAATGAGATAAATAGACGTTAATGCTTCCAAAAAATGTGGAATGTGTAACGTGCAGTGATCAGTTTGTTGCGCATAAAAGTTATTACAAATTCTAAGAAAGTGAGAGCACGTAGTTGAAAGTCATTTCGACAATCCTTTCTGTTTGGAATAAATCAAGTTCGCAAATACTAATTAAACAACGTGCATATATTTGATAAAAAGCATATTTCATATGAACACGCAGAATACTTGGAATATAGATGTAGCTTATTGTTATTAATTAAAATATAAGCCCTACCATCATTCAAGTTCATTTTTTATGAGTGAACTTACAAGCGTAATAACTGAAAATCCAGTTATAAGCAATTCTTAAAATTTTATTTTTGCAAATTACTTGCATAATGCTCATTTTGCAGTGCCTACCGCTACAGCTAATATATTTCAAGACTTTGAATATATTTTCTGGATTTAATGATAGAGTTATCCAACAGTCTGACGACTATTTAGATTAAGTTCGAAGTTTCAGATGGACTGTCCAAATCCAGAAGTGTATGCAGATATGATGAAACGATTTTCAAAAACGCTCAACAAAGTATTGCTTGCATATGCAGATATGGTACAAAAAGATTTTAGCAAATTTGTTGTTGACGAAAAACTTGCTTGCATACTAATGAACAACGTGCAACAACTTCGGTATGTTTTGGTGCAAATTTCTGGAGGGTTTGATAAACAATTTAAAGTAGACTTTTTCTTGCTACTTTAGTGTAATTAGCAGGTTCATTAGATTTATAATATTTTAAAGATTTACCAGTCAAAGAATATATATATCGCTTTGAACAATTTGCACTTGAGAGTGATCTTGTCACTAGTAACTTGTGCTGTTGTTGATTCTTAGAAATATGAAATCTTGCGATGAAATAATTTATATTCAGAGTCCAATTAGAGAAAATCTACGAGAACATGGGTGGACCGAGTCTTGATCCAGCAGCTAATACCGTCTTGACCAATTTGCAGAAAAAACTGAATTCTGTTTTGGATAAATTGTCAGGACAATTTGTAGAAAGCTTAATTCCGAATATTCATGAGCAAATGAACAAATTGGGTGTCATTCTTGCTAAAATAAAAGGACCACAACTACCGAAGAACCAGCTAGTTGGTGTGAGTACCTTTTGAAAATTAAAATGAATAAATTTAAACTGAAATTAAGACAACTCATTAAATCTGATGAGAAGAATTGCTCATCTTTGTCGAAAGCTGAACTCATTATCTAGTAAATTATGATGAATGTGATTATAATCTTTAATGATTTGTTTGCTAAACTATGTTCTTATCTTTTTTGGCCTTTGCATCTTTCGCTGAATTTTTGTCAAAAAAAAGAATTAACAAACTATAGGAAGTGGACACAGTGCTTGAACCGTTGATGGAATTACTAGAAGATAAACTACAAGACTACGCATCGCAGTGTGAGAAAACGGTCCTCAAGTATTTGTTAAAGGTTCCGATTTCCATTTGTTCTCCTTGATATATTTAGCATAAACAAAGATGTTAAATCAAAATTAGCTATTTGAGAGATGAAATAAAAGTTCTGGTACTTATGGTGTTTTATAAGTTGAAAAAATTATCATGTTGAGAAACTTGGCATTCAAGCAAATCCTTACAAAATTATTGGCAATTTGTTGGTCTACTTCTGTTCACATTTGTACCCGTCTCTCTTGACTAAACATTTTCGCTTAGTTTCATGGATTTTAAAAAGCTTAATATTATGATCTGAAGTTATTAAAATTTTCTAGGAGCTATGGCGAGCTACAATAGCAAGCATGGAGAAATTAGTTGTTTTACCACCACTTGATAACAAAGCGGTATGATATTACGCTTCTAAATATAATTTTGTTGTATGAATTTTGATAAGGCAAAAAACAAGTCAGAAACAATTTTGTTTGAAAATATTTACAGCTGAGATGAATAGTTTTCTTTGCTACAGATTTTGAAGCAGTTACCAAATGCAAAGATTGGTGATATGACAAAGTTGATGTCGAGTCACTTAAAAGAAGTGAAAAGTATGAGTTCGGTTAAAGAAATGATGGTAAGTTTGATTTAATTTGTTTGTCAAAGCATTTTTCACCTGATCCTGCAGTTTCACAAATCCTGCAGTTTCAGTATTCATTCCAATTTTTTGGTCATATCCTATGATTATTACAATAATAATTGCCACCGTAACGTTGTAGAGAAAAGAAGGTTGACATAAGTGTGAGAATAATAATGATAGTAACAATAATAATAACTGATGATAGATAATGCAAAATAAAGACAGATGATTATGCCAATTTTTATTTAATATTTTTAAGCTGTTTTCGAATTCCTTATAATTTTTTAATAATATAATTGAAATTCAGGATATTGCTCGGGAGTACGAGCGGTCGTTGACACCAAAACAATGCACAGTACTGGACGCAGCGCTGGATGCAGTGAAGGAATGTTTCCATGCAGGTGGGCAAGGGCTGAAAAAATCATTCTTCGAGAAATCTCCCGAGCTTCAGTCGCTGAAATATGCTCTTTCATTGTATACCCAAACCACTGAACAACTCATCAAAACATTTATCACAAGTCAAAAACAACAAGGTTTCTTCCACTATAATTAAGCAGAAATCTCCTTCAATCTCACATTTAAAGCACAAATGAATTGGTTTCGGTTAACTGATATTCCTACTTACTTGCAATTTTATTTACATGGTTTATTATTCCTATCATATTCTTCTCTTATTTTATTATTATTATTATTATTAATTGTTACAATTAAATATTATTATGAGTCATGAGGATTAGGCAATTATGTGTATGTTTGCATGACATATCATTTCTTTGCTAACCTACTGATTGCTTTTTCTACTTTCCCTCTTTCCCTTTTCTTTCCTCTTTCGAAGCTTTAGTTTTTGCTGTACATATAATTGCACTTCAATTTTAAAGGTTAAAATATATATTCGCAGAGCACATTTTTTAAAATCAAATTCTCAAAATATGCTTTGTATATGATTGAAATTAAACTTTGAAAGAAATTTTAATTGTCTTCAATTCCGTAAAGTGTTGGCTTATTTCACGTTGGCTTATTCCTTACTCTGTTTTGTAGATCTGCCATCACAAGAACAACCCGTAGGAGAGGTAAGTGTTCAGGTGGATCTCTTTACGCATCCCGGCACAGGCGAGCAAAAAGCGACAGTGAAAAGTAATTTTTTCTTTTGTGCTTTTAAGGAACTGATAAGAAGAAAAAGTAAATTAATGTCAAGTGTTGTGACTACATTTGTGTTTCCTCAGTTGTTTTAGCGTTTTGCGACTGCTGAAGAGAATTCTAGTCTGTAATGGATTGAAGCGAAACATTTAAGTTGTACACAAAAATGTGTCGTTGACGCAAGTGCCAGCGATCAAAAAATTAGACTTACATTTTTTTAAATATTGTGCAAATTAGAAAACAGAAGTATTTTAATGAGTATCAACTCTTGGATGGTTGCAATCACTAAATAAATACATTGCTGATTTGGCTATTGCAGTCTTGGCAGCAAATGACCTCAGGTGGCAGACTGCAAGTGTGTTCAAACCCTTTGTTGAAGTACATCTGCTTGGTCCACATTTAGCCGATAAAAAGCGAAAAATGGCTACGAAATCAAGAAGTGGTAATTGGGCTCCCAAGTTTAACGAAACATTTCACTTGTGAGTCATAATTTGCGAGAAATATCAATGTGAAAGTCAAGCGCAATTTCTCAGAATATTACAATAATACTGAAGAATTTATGCAGATTCTTACTGCAGCAGAAAATGGAAATTTTTCACTTAATTTATATGCATTTTTCAAAATTTTCCACCGTCAAAAAAATTGAAAGTTATTTTAAAAATTCAAATGACTGCGAAATTTCTACCTGTTCTAAATGAAAATGATCACTCAGTGAAATTTAAGTTTTCTTGGAAACGACGGTGAGCCTGAGCACTGCGAATTAATGTTCCAAGTAAAAGATTACTGCTTCGCTCGTGAAGATCGGATCGTTGGAGTTGGGGTGTTACAATTGGCTAATATAGTAGAACAAGGATCATGTGCTTGTTGGGTCCAACTTGGTCGGCGATTTCATATCGATGAAACTGGTCTCATTCTGCTCAGGTAGTAAAGTTCATCATGACTTAAAACCAAATTATTTTAATTGCTATTGTCAGAGAGTGAGTATATGTAATGAAGGAAATAGTTGCTTAATTTTGAATAATAAAATTTTTAATTCATTTTTAATTGCGTACATGTTCAGGATATTAAGTCAGCGCCAAACGGATGAGATAGCCCGAGAATTTGTACGTTTAAAATCTGAGTGTCGGTACGAAACTGAATCAACGATTGCTGCTTCAGTTAGCAATCAACAATTAGCTGGTAGGGCCAGCTGGTCCAGGTAAATCTATTCATTCGACTTTGGAGCAAATATTCCTGAAATAATTATGCAAATATTTATCGTCCATAATGTGGCTAAAAATGCTTTAGAATCTCAGTGCCATATTTGAATAGAATGTGTATGTAACTTTTCACTTTGCAAATGAATGATGCGAGTATTCGTATTTTTTGAAGTGCAAGAAATTGATGCGGAAATGGAACTTTAAGTCTCTGATTCATAAGTAAATACGAGTGTATATTGCTACTTAAGTGCTTAATACTTTCTTATTAGTTGTGCTAATTTATTAGGGATTTGTTTTTGAGGGCTTTCAAATTTTTGAGAAGCTATTTCGCATCTGCAAATATTTAACGAGTAAAAACTTCATGAGTTAAACTGGAAATGAAATTTAGCTGATTTCTATTTTTATTATCTATCTTATATTGAACGGTAGAAAGTAATTCTACATGAAATTAAATTTTTAATGGAATTTATGCAGCGATGGAAAATGAAAGAAGATTGAAGATAAAGCCCACTTGCTAATTATTCATAACAAAGTTATTAGATTACGAAAACTGGCGAAGTATGTGAGCTTCAAACTCTAAATGTACAAATTCTGTTGTCAGTAGTACCAGGGTACTTGCTACTGTATGATTGTTGCTTGTTGGGGATTTAATTGCTTCTCACTGAGTTAAGAATTCTCCTAGCTATATAAATATTTATCTATACATATTTATATGTATATGCATCATTTTCTTGCAATTACATGTGGTTTTAATTGTATAATTTAATGCTTTGTTACATTGAGAAGGAAGAGTGTAGCTCAGAAGAGTGTAGCTCAATGATTTTATACTCGGGTATTTCAAATAGTTTATCTGTCAGTACCGTAACATTTGCAAACTTTTCTTTTGGTTTTCTCAGAATTTAACAGAATAATTCAGATGTAAGTAGCGAGTTTCTTAGATTTTTTGTGAAAATATTTATCTGAGCAATTAAAGTTCCGTTTAACAAATTTGCTCTGATCTGAAAAAAGTAATCTGAACCGAATGTTTTTGTCTCCTCAACTTCACACCACCGTGAGGAGATAAAAACTTTTCATTTTGATTACTTTATTTTGAATAATCATTCGACTTGTTCACTGATAAAACTTTTTTTGTACATGGACAATCACTTTCTTTCAGTCTTTCAAAGATGATGAAAGAAGTTATTGTAATGTCAGTATGTGTCTTATTATAATTATAATTATAACTATTATATTTATCGTTATTATCATTACCATTATTATTATCTTTATCATTATTATTATTCTGTTTTTAATTTTATTTTTATTAACTTTTTGTTAGCAAATGCAGTACTTAGGCTTTATTCAAAATATAATCAGTGCCATATTATGGTTGTAATTGAAATGTTAGGGCAGAACATCTCTGCTGGTCAGTTGTTTGTCTAATTCTAGTCAACGTCTTAGTAAAGCATGCATGAAATAAAATAAAGTTTGAATAACAGAAGAATCTGTTATTGAAATTATTAAAACTTCCTTAGCATTACTTGTGAATTGTTTGTCACAAGACGTGCAACAAAGATGTATAACCCGGGAAACCATTTCCGCCTTAATGTTTATATATATTTCTTCCTCTCTCTGCGAACAAGCTTTCGATATTTTCAACTATCTTCAAGAGAAAACTGGAACATTGTTTTCAGTTTGACTGCAAGTTCTCTTAATGTAGATTGGATGTGGTGCAAACATTCACATCATTCCATGGTAAATCATGATATGTGCCTTGTTGTGAAAGATTTATGCTGATTTAGTGAATATTAAAAGCTGTTAAAATAGTTTGTGCGCATTAAAAATGGGTGATTCCGCGCAGGTTATAGGCAGTAAAGATTGTTATTGTCAGCTTCCAAGATCTTGTTCAATTTAGAAAATGCTAATGTCAAAATTGGCTTCTGTCATTTGAAAGCTTTTTCCGATTTGTACTTAATTCATCGCATATTTTATCTGTAGTCATCAAAATTTTGGATTATCGGATTACATCAATTACTCGTATTCCGATAACCGAAAATCGATGAATTTTTCGTTTCTGTGTTGGAATAGAACATTTCTGAAAATGATATATGCCATCTACAAATTTACAAACTATGATATTCTCTATATATGAGCCTTCCGCTTGCAAACTTTCAGTTCCAAAGTTTCAAATTGCTTCCGTCCAAGATTCTAAACAACGAATAGTTTCTTCCAATTTATAACAACGCTAATGATTTTGTGCGGAAAAATAGAAATTTGGAGTAAATTATAAATTATTTTGTAGATTATACAAACATACATAAAAACAAGAAACACAACAATAAAATGTACATTATAAAACTGTTATGCTTAAGAAAATTTTATTTTTTACAAACATAATGATAAATTTTATATGTAAATCATTATGACTAAGGCAGAGGTGAAATTTTAGTTTCACGCCATATTTTTCGATAAGTTATTCATAAATGTGATACCAAAATTCATCTCACTTACTGTTGCTTTTAATATGACACAAATAATAACAATAGTGCGAGCAATAATTGTGGAGAACTATTACAAATATTGTTATCATTTTATGACCAATATCAGAACTATCAGCGATTTCTTCATTGAGAACAAACAGGTCAGAAATGGCAGGAAAAAGTGTACAATGAGAGATTTTGGGATAAATTTGTTCGTCGAATAATCAATAAATTATTAATTGTACTGATTACGATGCACCAAAAATGCGCTTAAACCATAAAGGAAACCATTGAAAAATGAAAGGAACTGAAATAATACCTTGTTAGAACTTTGAATGACATAAAATCTTGTACAATTTAGTAAGCAACATCTCACTGCTTTTAATTTTCATTTAATAATTGCTTATAAATTCTGAGACATAAAGTGACGAACACTAAATGGATGTATTGTGAAAGATTACCGATGCGAACAGCCATTCATAGATAGTACGACAATGATTGTGAATGATTCCATCAGAACCAATTTCGTTACAATGATGCGACCAGGCACCCGTAGAATAGTATGCTTCGATGAAGCCCAGAATTACGTAAGAAAAGCAGGCAGTCATTGAAAACGTGAAGTCCTAAAGAGGAGCACATGAAGCAGTGGAAGAATTGGTGTAAATTTGACATAAACATTAAAAAGAAGCATAAGATAAATCTTAATTATGAACTATATGATCAGGATTGTGGCAGTCTTTTGTTGTTGCTTGAATCATGAATTAATTCATCGTACAAGTACTTACTGAAGTTCGCCATGGCCAGAAGTACAAATGAGTTTCGTGTAATTCGAAAAGAAAAACAATCAAGAAAATAAAGGAGAAACAGACGGCAGCTCCTGCAAAGATCATCATAAATGTTTGACCAAAAAGGATTCCAATAAATGGTCCTGGACCGTATACTGATACTATCAGTGATAATATCACCAATCCAATTACCTGAAAGATTCCCATCATCTATCTATCATTTACGTTTATTATTTCATTTATATTCCGAAAGAAAATGCTTCTTCAGAATTCATTCATTCAACCTAAAAAAATTTGATTTTACTAATAAAATAATTCAGTCAAAATGAAAAGTAACTAATTTGTTTTGCCCCTTCAGAAACTTACTATTTCCATTATACGTATAATGCCAGCAGGTCGACAGCAGTAGCTGCCATTCAGGGGTCCTCGAGCGAAGTAATATTCTCTATCCCGCAAATGATTAGTAGTTTTACCTTCAACATTTTTGGAATTACCTTGTTGTGCCCCCGTGTACATTTCTTGTCGTACCGGTTGCATCGCACACAAATTTCTACAAAACGTTAAATGAGAAAAGTTTCATCTCAATAAATAGGCTTTACGTCAAAAATAAGCGTAAGTCAGCATGAAATTTTGAAGTACCAAATACCGCACTATCGCCATTTAATATACACAGTGCTAAAAACATTTCATATACACTTGCGAAAATTGATCTGAACTTATGTTTAGTATTTTTTAATGAATATAAACTGTGTAATATAGCAATTTTAGTGGTGGAAACTGAGCGAGCAATTTTTTAAGACGAAAAATTATTAATAAACAACAAACGTGTAAAGCGAACAAACGTATCACAACACATTTCCATAATTTCTCAGCCAGCTGTGAGTCTAACAATAGCGATCGTTGCAGTGTACAAATACGTCAAACAGAATGATGTAAAGCATTTATTTGTGCTTTCCTTAAGCACTTTGCTTGTATGATGAAAACTGTTCTTTCATTTGGCATCATTTCTGACGTAAACAGTCATAAATTATCCGAATTTAGCCATTCAATTCAAAACTTATTGGGAATAGACGTAGCAGACTAATTGATGATGCATTTGCTTTTCACATTTCTCACTATCACTTGTTTGTTGCTTATCGTGTACTTTGTTGCTCTTCATACCCAAAATCATCTTTTTAAGTGTATTTATGGGTGTTCACGTTGCGAGTACACGTGAATATGAATGTATATCACATTTGCTGATGCTGATGCTGATGAGCTACAAACAATTAATGAAAAACAATTTCCCGTCAATTAATCTCTTTCATAAATGATTGTTTTTCCTCATTAATGCATCTCACTCTGTCCAACGAATCATTTTTATTCATAAAATAATAAATGAAACCACATGCAAAAATCTGCTCGTTCAATGTCTTACTATGTTAGCACGCTATAAACAGGATGAGTATTGTCAATAAGAAGGAGCTCAATGACGCAATTGAGAGTTAAACACTAATCAGAAGTAATGCAAAATCGTCATAAATCGCTTTAATATATCACTTAATAATCCGCGCATAAGATAATGAAAAATGATGCTTGGGGCAGCTCAACTGTTAACTGCATATACATCCTGCATCGAGATGAGCGCAAATGTATCTATTGTGATGCTTAACAAAATTATCTAACTGAAAGTTGTCTGTATTTAGTTCCATAAATTCCAGTAACATTACTGTAGTATTTTACATCAACTTGTGACAAGCCGGATGAAGTACGTATATAAATTATTTCCAGCTAAACTTGCATAATGCTTGATTTTGTCAGTACCTGTCAATTGAAATAGTACTCCATTGTAGATACACTATGAATGTGATTTGAAATTTGTGAAAGAGAATGTGTAAAGGGAGGAATCCCAAAGAATTACGAAAGGGAACAAAACGCACGTGAAATGCGAGACTTAAAGATATTAATGGGAGACATTTTTGCAAATACCTTCTTTACTTAGAATTCACTTCAAACAGTGAATGTTGTCAAGCATCTAAATTAGCATGTAAAGTCTGAATAGTTTTGGCTGATCATTAATGTAACGTAAAAAATAATAAACATAATAGTTAAAAAAAATGAGTGCGGAACAATAAACTACGCTGTGAAATGAGAAAAAAAGGAGCAGACTTCTCTGATATATTTATGTATTTCAATTGAACACATCTCAAATATAATTTATAGAATTAGGCTAATTAATATTAATGACAATCAGCAAGTATCGCCATTTTAACGATGCTATTTTTGGGAAACGAAAAGTTTTATACATGAGTTTTGCAACTTTTTGAATGCTTCTCAAATGGAAACTTTCAAGATGAATAATATGATAGAAAAAGTAGATGGAAACGAGCGAACAAAATTCATTAAAAATATGACAAAAGAAGAGCATTGTTTCAGAAGCTAACATATATGCAAGGAAAATGGTTGTATACTTAAATAATATTTCAGGCGTCACTCTCTACGCGTGATCATCTTGTTGCAGTTGACATTGTTTTGATGAACTAATTGAAGATATAACACAAACGGGTTTGAATATAATTTAAATCTAACCCGGAACCTAATCTAAACCACATCTTTTTGCCGTGTTTCACTTAGGAAAAGTAAAGATGTCACTATATTACTCACTGATTCATTTGCCAACTAATGACAACAAATGTAAAAGCAAAGATGAGATGATCGAGATTTATCGTTTAAGATCATTTTTCAATGCATATATATATATATATATATATAT